ATGCTACAGGTCAAACCTACAATCATTGTCAAAAGTGTTGGGAAAGTTGCTTTTTTTAGCTCTTTTTTCCTTCCTCCCCCCGCCCCTTGCCCAATATTGAGCAAAAGTTTAATGTTTGTGGGCGAAATTGTTCTGTTATGTCCCAACAAGACAAGATCTAACTTGACTACCTGTTCAGACTGCCCATATCTTGTTTCTGCAGCACAATTGATGCAAATGTCAAAATCCCCTTCAGAATCCAAAAATGCTTTCTCCACACTGACTATACAGAAATCAGGCAAAGAGGTTAGAACGAGAAACAGTAAATACTATGCATTTGATAAATTTCAGGGTGCAACAAAACTGCTGCCTGATTAGCCTGAGACTAGTCAAGCAACCAACTGCACTCTAAATTAAATTGCAAGTGGCCTCATGGCAGGTAACATTTTCTGAGATAAAGAGCATGCAAGTGAAAAAGGAGGTTGGCAAGATTGGCAAGATTGCATGATAGGCCACATACAATACAAAGTCATGTGACCAATGCTTCCTTTAAACAATGAGTTGGAATCTTAATTGCTGATGCCAAAAATTGACTGAGCACATAAAAATTATCTTACACCCAAAATTTGAGAGGAAACAAATTTAAGGGAGATATTTTATGGCACTTTCATTTTTCAACAAAGTAATGTAGTGTAATGGCCACCATGTTGGACGGCACACCTTTGCCCTCCAACATGGCGGCCAAAACTTCTTTTTGCTTGTATCTTGTTAAATGTTTGATAGTTACGCTCAGATGTGCTGTAAACGCTACCACCATTATCTTTTCAACAATTTCCTTGAAGTTTAAATGCAAAATTTCTGTTCAGAAAGAGGTAATTCATAGCTTTAAAAATCACACTTTGGTCACGTGACCAGCTCCAAACTTACTCATTTTAAGAAAATGGTGCGGGTTTGAAAAACCAAATCACTATTATTTTGTTTAAGATATGACCCACTAATGGTTTTTGGAAGGCAAAATCATATAACTTTCATTTTAATAAAAATGATGTCACATGGCCTGATAGTGCAAATGGCCTATTGCTCTGAGCTTGAGCAAGCCTAAGCAACAGCTTGCTCAAAGGGCAATTATTAAAAAACTTAGTTTTTAAATTTTCATCTTGGCACCCTGGGCCCACTATGAGGGAAGGAAAAATGAAAAAAATCTCTGCAGGAAATTTGAGGATTTCTTAGAAATTTTACAAAGTTTCCTCAACTTTATGCCTCATTTTTACTTGTTTAAAAGTTAAAGAAATAATAGTATTCAGCTGATTCTTACCAGGGCTAATTAGATTCGCACTTTTAAACTCCACATTACTGTGGTGAAAAGCTTCCTGCAAAAATAGTTTTTTACAGTGACCCAGATCAATAATTGATCATTACAACCATCTACTGTATGTAGCAGGAACTATTAAAGCCACACATATAAGAACTTCAAAATGTTATCCTCTATACTAGTTATAGGCTATATAGTGCTGAAACGTTCATGTCACTTGATAAAATGACAACGGTAAATGAGAAACTCATATTGCTCATCATTGTAATTTTAGTCGAGTTTGCCAGTATATTGTTCACCATCAATAAATGTGAAATACCAAAATAGTACGTTACATTGACAACTCACTGGTGACTGCCGTGGGTAGAGATCAGTGAACACCAATACCCATAATATGGGTGACATGAGAGACCTACACCCCCTAGCCCCTGAGATGATCAAAAATTAGTTGACTTAAGTTTAGGGCCTGTAACTGCACACAAAAACTTTGAATAGCTACTGGAAAACATCTCTGCAGAGTCATCAGTGAAAACACTGGGGTTTTATTAGAAGTGACCTGGGACCAGCAGGCACCAGTGTACTCTGCCTTCATGCAAGATAGAAAATTTACCACTTTTTTCAAACAAACTTTCTCTGCCTATATACTGAACATTGGATACCCTCCAACTTAAAAAAAAAATAGATAAAACTCTGCAGCACTGTCAAAGCTATATAAATGTAGTTACAGAGTTGTGAATAATTATTCTAACTTACTTTGTGTCTTTCATTCAGCCATGCAGTCTTCGGTGGAACTTTATCAACTGCCCGAACCTAAAAATTGGTAGATAAACTGGCAACTTCAGTAATAAATATTTGCAAAATTCACCACGTCACAAAAAAAAATTGTATTTTATAACAGAGGGTGTTCTCAATCTATTGCTTTAAGTACAGGAGGGTTGGAAAGCTGCAGTCCAAACAGCCAATTTTTCAGGCCAGTCCTACAAGTTAGACATATGTTTGCTTATTCTTCCTAGAAATTGCAGATGTTAAGTCCTTTGTTTTAAAATAACGTTCTTTGCTCATGTTTGACTGACCCACCTGCTACAGTGTACAGGTGAGTTGGTTTGTACATTGGTATTTTGAAATATTTTCCTTGCCATGTATTATAGGGGTAGCCTTTACCAGTGGTTCAAACAAAGATATTCTTACCTTAGAACACAACTCATGCTCAACAAGATAACATACAAGGTTACGACCAACAAATCCTAGACCTGCATTTAAAACAGATAGCAACCAAAAAGAACATGAGAGAGAGACATCAGCTAGTCAAAGAGAGCACAAGGTTAAATACCACCTTTATGACCAGTTAGTCTAACTGCTAAGAAGTGAAACTAATATTTGATCTACATGTACCAGAAAAAGTCACTCATGAAATGTCATGTCTCAAAGACAATTCATTGCAAAAAATATATTAAAAAATATTCAGTCATTTCCACTTCTCTGGCTTTACTCTGCTGAAGCAAAAAAGAGTAAGAGAGAGGATCCCAGGAATAATGAGGTTGCCCCTGGCTTACTCATTGCCATCAGGAGTTGTAATTTGCTGTTATGGGGGGGACTCCTGAAAATCTTAGTGGGGGTGTGCTGCCTAGAGTTGTCAAAATCCTGACCCTATTTCAAACATAAAAATGTCATTGTCCACACCCATTTTCAGACCTGGCCCCGACTGTTGAAAAGGTGGATAGCGCTATCCATCGTATAAATCTCTATTCAGGGGATAGTGCAATTGGTTTCCATAATACTTATCCACTGGCCATGGATAGAGATTTATCCAATGGATAGCGCTATCCACCTTTTGAACAACATTACTGAGGCCTGGCCTTTTAATAGGAAATTATGTCATCATTAAAATACTTAGATTAGAACACCAACACAAAGATTTCGTAAAATCCATTTTGAATTTGCATATTACTCTTTCTTTCTTATTCATTTTGAACAGAAATGACAAATATGTTCATTCACTCCTGCGGTTCCCTCGAAAACCATACCCGATTTCAGTCCAAAATGGCAAAAGTCTAAGCTCGTTTTCAGACTGACACGGCACTATGTGGCTTACATAAGGAAATTGCCCTGCAGGTCATGTTATTGCAGTTTTGTCAACTCCCCTGGATAATCTGGGAGACTCCAGATTTTGGATAATCTGGGAGACCATACCTCCCAGTCTCCAGATTAGAGTCTGAAATCTCCTGGATAATTGCCAAAGTTTGCCATTTCTTGCAAACTCGACTTTCCAACCATAAAATTTCAAAAAATGTGCATTGTTTGAGCTACTGTCAACATGAGATGTGTCCTCATTAACTTTGGTATGCCATTGAAATTTAAGTGATAATGTGACTAAATATGAACTGTTTATGTCATCTTTCATCCTTTCCCTATCAATTCTCAATATTTGATGAGTCAGACTCAGACATGGGGGGTGAGGGGGGTGGGGGGTGGTTGACAGCCCAGTATCAGTGACTGATGTAAATGACAAGATAATAGTAGCAAACCTCTTTCAGATTTGGTCAGCTCTAACTGGTTAGCAAGAATTAGCTGAAGGATTGAAGACAATGTGAGATGGGGAAATTAAAATGATATATTAATTTCAATTTAAATGAATTATCTACAGTTAATAGACCTCAAAACCGTGCCAAGGTCTGTTAAGACAATTGTGGTCGGTGAAATTATTTTGAAGGGTAGGGAGAGACGGAGGCGACATATAAGCCTTCTAATGATATATAGTTTCCATATTTTCTGTTTTGTCTTCATCGAATTTTACTCACGAAGCGGAAAGAAAATGGATCCTTAACCCCGGTGAAATGGTGCGTGGGACAAGGTCAATCATGATCAATTGACTTAACACTCCTCACTAAACAATAAGATTACAGTGAAACGGTTTAGTAAGCAGCATAGTGTTGATAAACCACTCACCACCAAGTACTATAACTCTAGGTTTGGACGCCATAGTTCTTCTTTCTCAAATATTGGTAAACCACCAGGCTACAAAAACAATTTCAGGGCTCCAACTGATGGTGATATTCCCCGCCACGAAAGATATCTCAACGTCCACGCAAAGGGGAGGAGAATCGTCTAATTAGCCACATCGAGAACAGGTATCTGCCAATTTCCCTTACTTCCTAAAAGGAGTAAAACCACTGTGAAAGCGAAATTTCCAACACATATCTGAAACGACTGAAAGAAAACTGCGGAACAGATCGAGACGGATATTCGAGAGACCGGGTAGGTAACCGCTGGTCACATGTGCAAGGGGTCGCGGGCTGCCTCTAGCGCGAATAGTTGCAACAAAAAGAGAGAAGCAGTGAGGGTAGAATTTCGAAGGAAAACGGAAGAAATTGAGAGAGAATCTACCTACCCAACTAGTCTTTTTCCACGTTCTCATTTTGCCATCTCCATTATCTGAACCCCTGGCAGCCGTTCCAAAGAAAAAGGGGAATCAGGCGACTGTAGTTTTTTTTTCTGCCCACAGTCACCACAGTTTGTTTGTGTTTTTGTTTTTGCTGTCATTATCAGTAGTACACTTTTATTAATGAGTAATCTGAAAAGTCTGACTACACCTTCAAGTGATGAGGACCCATATCGGTCCGGCTATCCAGCGTATAAGTAGTAGCTGATAGTGTTGCTCGGCCAGAGCCATTTTTTTCCGTTCTAAAATATATGGCGACGATACAGTCCTGGGGCTGATATCTTATATCTGTTATCCTATAACTAAGAACAACATGTGTCAACACCAGATTATAACTCTAAAGTCGTTTATCAGCTGGTTTGTCTTCTTTGTACATTAATATACTTACAAATCTCTCACTTACAACGCCCCCTCAAGCCCACGCACGTTAACAACACCACTCTCACTCTATATCAACCCAGTATTTTTAAAATTGTTGCCTTTTCAAAAATAAACTTTGAATTCCAGCATCATTCTCCATTATAAAGTTGAAACCTTTTTTTGTTGCACTGGATTGGTAAAAAACATTTACTAGATGATTCTTTCGGTAAAAGTACACATTCTGGCGCGAAGACGGTCAACATACGGGAACTGAAAGAGAAACTAAAGTACCATAAGTAATAAGAAAATCTTTTTCCATCAGATTCACGAAACAGTTTACTCTTAGCTTTGCCGTAAAAATGTGGAAACAATCATTTTAAAACAGAAAAATTACGTTTCTGTAGCTACATGAAAAACAGTGAGATTAAAGCAGACTAAATTTTTCTCAACAGATGCTTCACGTTTTATTGATCGAAGACAGCTTGCTTGCATTTTCCTGTTACAAGTCAATCACGTGACTTTGGACAGAACGGCGTCCCAAGGAGCAAAGGAAGTTCCAAACGACTAACAAGAGGCAGCCATGTGCTTCCGCCGATAGTTTCCGGCCATTTTTTGCATCCTCTAAACTTTTGATGGCCTGATATTTTACGGTAACATTTTGCTGGAATATCTTACATCACGTTAAGCAGTATATCGTGGAATTGTTGCGTTGAAAGGTGAGTGCAATCCATTCGTAATTTTCAAAACTGGTTGCAAAAGTTTGAAGGCAGAATTGTTCGCTTCCGTGTTGAGTTGCTTCGTTTGTTGTGTTTCGCGAAACGAATCGGATTTTGTCCAATCTTTGAGGGAAACAGTGTGAAACTTCATCCGCATTTACTCCACAAAAAGAGCTTCGTTTTTTATAAGTTGAATGTGCGAGTTCTTGGCACAAATGGCAGTCGACCAAACCGGTAGTTCTGCTGTTGTGGACACGATCCTAATTTTGCATAAATTAGTTACTCCGGATGTGCAAAGTTGGATCGCGTATGTTTTCTCTTCCCATGGCCCTGCTCAACAGGCCTTACACCTGTCTTGGTAAACCTTGAAAAAAGCAACACTTTTTGAGGTTTTCAAAATTATCTTAGCGTTTTTCGGGTTCCTTCAAGCAGCGAGAAGCGTAAAGTTTTTCTACCTGTCAAGTTGTGTATTTATCGTTACTGCCGATCGATCATCTTTATAATTCATCGCTTCGTTCCCAAAAATTGCTCGTGATCTAGCACTCACGGAACAAAACGTCAATGGAACAATAAAGTCTTTCCCTGCAATAATATTTCTTTGATAAAAGTATTACATTATCATACCCACCAAAAGTTTTGTTTGGCGTTGACGTTTGTGAAGTCCACGGATACAATATGGCGGCTTTTGACTTCCGGACAAGCAAACTTTGCGCTCACCGTATATTTGTCGGGGCTCTTGCTGAATGATTAGTAGTTTTTAGTTGATATTATAAGTAAGAAATAAATTTTCTTTTCAAATTGTACGGAAATGCTTTTAAATCTCAGAGAAATTAACAGACATGTAAACTTGTTGTTGTGTGCTTTGTATTTTCAAAATTACCGTAATTTATTATCGTTATTTTTTTCTAATAATTTTCTTGAACATTCAAGTTTTTGTCGTGGATTGAAATTCACGGAAAAATACCATCATTTGTCGGCACGAAAACCCCTTTCATTCGTAATATAGAGTTCACTGGCCGAACTTTATTACCATTCTCTTCTACAACTGTTTTAGCTTATATAATTAACTGAACGTGGAAATTTCTAAAATTTTTAATACTTACTATATCCGTATAAAAGATACACACAATTCGTGCAAAATTATTGTCACTGTCATTTCATACAGTGTAGTCATTAAATTACAAACAATAAAAAGGTGAATAGTACATATTAAAGGTTATATATAATTCCATGATTTTTTTTCCTCATCATAATTTCTGGAAACACAGATTAGAAAAAAAGGAAATTCAATACTGTAAAAACTTCAATGCAAAAAGAAAATAAATAAATACGCATTGCACTTCATCTCCTTTTTAAATTGCTTTGAATTTTTTTTTTCTATGCTATTTCATTTCTCTTAGATTTGAAAGATATGCTCTCTCATCACAATTATTAATGTTGTCATGCATATTATTAATACCTGATCATGCAATTTTTCTTGTGTTGTTTGGAGCAAATAAACATTTGCAAAGTTTTTCAAGGACTATAAATTGTAATTGCCTTATGGGACTTGCACAGCTTTGTTGGCCATTGAAAAAAATGCTTGTGATTATGTATTTCACAAATAGTGTCCTATGCAAGTATCTAGATGCATGTTTCTCCAATTACCGCAGTGAGGTAATTAAAAAGCTAGGAAATTCTTTTGGTTCTATTTTTGTCAGTTTCCTAGAGATGTAGCCAGGGGAAATATGCTCATAAGTAGCTAAGGAAATTCCCTTCCCCCAGCCCTAAGTAACAGCCCCTGGTTATGACGTAAATGATAAAAAAATATATATTTGAATTTTTGAAATTATAACATATGTTGAAATCTCCAGAAAAAACATTTAATGAAAAAAGGCTCCTTTACCAAAAGGCATCATGTAACTGACCATGAAAATCCCTGTAAAAACAAGGATTTGTTTGGATTCAGCAGAGCACAGTAGTGCTGTGCGCCAACTGTAACAAAATGTTTGTGTTTCAGAGGAAGTCCCCGAAATCCTATAATACTATAAAATCCTAAAATTGAAGGACTCCATGCAAAAACATCCCTGACACACTCATTTCATTTTTGGTGGTGAGGTTTTTCCATGGATCCCTGGCCTCCAATTTAGGAATCTGCTGGGATCAAAATTATGTGATTGCCTATACAGAAAAACCAACAAAGCTATTGTTATCAGTGTTTAATAATTGATATATGGTACATAAACACAAGAACAACAACTTTTTTTATTTCAGTATTCCCACGTGAGTACATGGTATTACCTACATTATTTACGTTATGAATCTTAAATCAAAATAAAGGCTATAATTAAAGAACAAGTTTTCGTCTATATTAGATACATGAATGTATGTAAGTAGCTGTAAGTACATAAATTGAAGCTGTCCTCCTCAGTGACTGTGAAATTTGTGAAACACGTGGTGATCATATCTTGTTCTAGGAGAGAATTGTGCTGAAAATTATTTTGGTCAAGTCTTTGCATACCAGTCTCTTTGTATGAGGAGAAAATAGAGCTGTAATGTTATTATTATACATGTCTTTTCAATCCAGTGAATTATCTAAACTGCTTGGAAACGAAACAGCTCAAATCAGTGACTACCCTGATTCATAAAGTCAACATTTCCACATTTACCCCACACATTAGATTGCAATTATCTAAGTACCCGCATTTTATTAAAATGTGTTCACAAAGCTGTGACAAAGTCCTCAATTCTCCCAACTATTAATTTTTTGTGGAAGCTAATTTCTCCTAGCAGTGTCTTTGTGACCTGAGAGAAGCAAAAATAGCCTTTAAATAATTATAATTGTTATTGTACATATAATTGTCATATGTACTGTTAAAATTTCCAGGGCGTGTTGCAACAAACAAATTGGTATTATGAAGGAGAAGGAGAAGTCCTCCCTCGTTGACCTTGGAAAGCGTCTGCTAGAGGCATCTCGAAAAGGACATGCAGATGAAGTTAGCATGCTGATGGCATCTGGTGCTCCTTTTACAACTGATTGGGTAAGATAACTTCAGTTAGTATTATTGTTATCATTATGAATAATGAAGGGCCTGACACAAGATACCGGTTTACTGTGAGTTTTCCTCAAAATATCCCAATCAAGGCTGTGCTCTCACAGCACTCTTTGGCCCATGGTGTCTAACTTTTGCTCCTGGCAAGTAGAAAATCTCTCTGTTTTTTTATACAAAGCATGTTCTGGGTACCATGGATTTCACAAGTTCAGGTCACTGGGCTCACTTCAATATTTCTTAGATCACAGCATTGCTAATTGTTATGAGCAAAAATTAATGTACTTTTTTTCCATTAACAATCCCTTCCTGATTTTTTACCCCACTGGAGTTGGTTTCCAACATACATGTACATTATTTAAGTGGGAAATTGCTGAACTGGATTGTTTCTGGCAAAGTGACCGAAGTTTATGAGTATCATTTCTAGAAAATGGGCATATAAACACGCAAATGCAGGGCTCAGCCAAAAAAGTTGTAAAATAAATAAAGAATTTTCTAAATATCTAAGAATCTTCTGAATATCAAGTGGTAACGTCCAATATTATTTTGTGTTGTATCCTGAATGTCCACTGATATTTGTGGAAAGGCCTCAGACTAAATGAAACAAACAAAATTTAGGTCCCGCATGTGTACTGTTATTTCAGATGGAATATATCTTGGTAGTTCTTACTTGTTCAAGAAAAACTGTGCTGTAACTTTGTTGATAACGTATTCCTAGTTGTACATTATTGTAACAAACAGCTTCACATTCAAACCTTTCTCAGCTTGGCACGTCACCATTGCATTTGGCTGCTCAACATGGCCACACCCAAACAGCAGAAGTCCTTCTCCGAGCTGGAGTAAGCCGAGATGCACGCACAAAGGTAATTAATTTTTTGGTGTTTCTTATGCAGTAGCAATATAGTTTTTGGCCTTAAAAAATTGTGATAAAATTTTGCTTTAAAAAATTTTGTGAAAATAATTTTAAAAAATGTTAAAGAAGAGAAATGTTTTGACGTTCTTGGGTGTCACTATTGGTGGCGTCACGTTTTTTCAACGGTTTTGGAAAATTTTTAAAAATTTCTTAAAATGTTTTTAAGCAAAATTTTATCGCAATTTTTTACAGCCAAATGTTAAAAAAAGTGCTTCTTTTTAATCCACCGTAGTTTTCACAGATGATAATATGTAGCTGGATTATTTTATATGCATTAATTTAATCTAATATAAGTAGGAAAGTTTTCCAACGAACAGTATCCTTATATGTTAACAACATTTTTTGCACCCTCTGGACAATTTTTTGTAGTTCAAAATTTTATTAAGTTCAGGTTTGATTCTCAGTTTCTTTTGTCTCCCTTATGCTAATAATTTTTCATGCAATTAAATAATGTGGTCAATTTCTGTTAGGGTTAGGAGACAAAGAAAATTGGAAATTAAAGTAGGTTGAAACCATTTTAACCTGAATTTCATTTTGAATTATGATTCATATTAAGGTCTAGATAAGATATTTCACAACTCTGTTAAATATGTGTGATTGGTAAGGAGAAAAATAATGTTGAAAATCAGAAGTAATCACTATACTTTTCATTTCCACTTTCTGAACACCTCAAAGTATTAGAGGAAAAAATGTCAATTACTATTTCTTGATCTGGAACTTCATTTTTAAAAACTGTATGTGTGATAATATTTTTTGAAAGGTCGATAGAACACCATTGCACATGGCAGCACAGCATGGCCACACCCATGTAGTAGAGTTACTTATTTCCTCTGGAGCTTGTGCAAACAATGCTGACATGGTATGTAACTTATACATGCATGTATTTTAACCTCCCAAACTGTCCCCTAACCCCTTATAATAAGAATTGTCAAAGAGTCATCTTCAAGCTAGACTCAGTCAAGAAGGCCACCCTGTATCTCTTATTCTTGAGGATCTTACAGAAAAAAAATAGGGAACTGTCACTGTGAACAGTGTATGAATACACTTCATATGGTATGTTTTTTTTATAATTTATATGCTTTACCTGTTTAAAAAGTTTGATTTTTAATTGATTTTTGTTCATTAGTTGTCTTTTTATTACTTTTATCCCCACGTTAATCGTTATCATTATCACTATCATGACACTCATGAGATTTTATTGGTTTTTTAACCACTGGAAGCTAAAACAGTAGATTGGAAACTGAAATTCTTCGAGCACTTTTAAAGTGATTTTGAAAATCACCCATTTATGAAGCAAATTCAGTCCTTGTTTAAATAATTACTCCATGTATGAACTAAGCCGAACATTTTCAACGAGTACAACAAGTCAGTGAGTCTTAACAGTACTTTATTTACTTGTAGATAAATTACCTGTAACCCAAAATCTAGATGATTGTTTCTTTTCCTGGTATCCCTGGTGATTACATTATATACATTGCTCCAAGCTGGAACCATTTTGGTTGCCATGGCAATCAGAAAAAGATTTTGGTGACTAAATTACAGCCAAAGTAGTAGCAGTGTTCTTACCAGGATTTTCAACACTCAGGGGTCCACAGGACCCATAGAAAAGCTCAAAGGGGGTCATGAGGGAGAAATCCGGGTCACTCACTCAAAGTTTTACAGCTCTGAGTTAGAGTAAATGCCTCTTACATTCTTAGATAATAGATACCTTATATTATACGGAAATGTACATGTATGTATGTACGTGCAGTGTGTATGTATCTTTACAAATGTTTTGCAATAGGTTTTTTTCCTTCTTTGGCCCTTATAATTTGGTAACTGCTGCTGCATGTTAGTCATGTGCCCAGCTGTGTGTTTTTATCAGTGTTTATTGTCTTTTTAAAATTAAAATGATAAGTCAATTATTTACTTTGTACTGTACATTATGTATGCACCATTAATTTTTTATTCGCCTCTTTCACTCTGGCTGTCCCAGTATCAAACCCTTGAGATTTTGGATGCATCTCCAAATTGAAATGGGGCAGTAAGCCGTTGTATACTGTAGCAATAGTTGACTAATAAGTTGGTTACAGTTTTTTTATCTGTTTATAGCTGAATATGACCCCTCTTCACTGGGCCTGCGAACACAATCATGTGGACATTGTGAAGATTTTGCTACGAGCAGGAGCCAAGACAGACATCAAGAGCAAGGTTACCACACACGTTTAAAATTACAAAGTATCTGAAGTTGGATAACATAGTTTTTTTGAACTATTTGTTATTACAACAACAAAACAACTTTACTTAACGGTGAAATGTAAATTATTATAACTCCTTGATTTATAACCAGATAAAAACCATTGGTACAGATTTAGAAAAAAACTTCAGCAAGCCACTAAACTCTAATTTTATCTAGACCATAAATAGACTCACATTTGATTAAAAGTGTTATTTCCATGATTACTGTAAGTAACATATTTTCATGGTTAAGAGAAGAACTGCAAAGCATGTTTTATTTGGGGTGCAATACCAATTTCAAGTTTAAAGCACCTAGGCAGCTACAGTGAAACCCCGCTATAACAAAGACCCTGTTGTAATGAAAAACATCTGAAAACCCGGCAGAATTGCCTCCAAATATGTGGAAACAAACCCCGCCATAATGAACCCTGCTATAACAAAATCCCCGCTATAACTAATAGATTGTGATGGTCCCAATGCACAATTTACCCCACTGTAACAAATATTTTGTCTGGTCGCTCGCAGCAGTTAGTAAATTAAACACGACAGATTTGAGTAGAAATCACAGCTTGCATTATTCCAAATACATCTACTGTATGCTTCATCATGCAGACCCATCTTCCTTATCTTGCAGTATTGAACTTTTGGTTATTGCTATTTTTTAAATTACCCCGCTATAACAAATATTTTTGCCATTACCCATACAATTTGTAAAAAAGGGTTCTTTGCAACTACGAAGACCCTGCTATAAGGAAAAATTTTTTCGCTTCCATGGCACTTCATTATAGTGGGGTTCCATTGTACTCAAAGAAATTAATACTCCATGTACGGATAGGGAATCTGAGCTCAATCTTCCAATGTACTTTAATGAACTACCCGTATCCCTCACCAGCTGGACTGTCCCTCTCAATCTGCCAGTGGAGGTTGAATTGTACTGTAACAAGTCGAGATTTATTTTTATTTTGTACGTCTTTTTTCTTTAGTTTGGTAAGACACCAGTTGATATTGCAAGAGCAAAGGATTATATTGAAGTGCTTGCTGCATTGTCATCTGATCAGGTGAGTTTTTCTTCCCAGTAAAACCATTTAAAATAATGTGATTTGAACACATTTTACTCTTTCAGTCTAAGTACCTGTACCTAAAAGACTGTTGATGTACATGTAACAGCATTTCAAAGAATTACATTTACTGCCTCTTGCTCTTCCTGTGGTTGCATATAATCTGATATTATCGCCCATGCTCTCTATATATGTTTGTTGTGGTACAACTGATTGTTTTAGAATCAAAATGTATTATCTTTGGTGATTATAATTGCCTTAGTTTGTTCTCATGACTTTGCAGACACGTATATCCTAAATTTGATGAGTAAGTAAGAGTGTGAGGAGAAGTTAGACATCCATCCTCTGTTGGATTAAAGGGTTCATTAGTCCTGTAGAGGAATAAAGTTATTAATCATAGGTGGTGGTGTACAGTGGGGTGTGGCAATAATTATTAAGTTGGTTCAGAATTCAAGAGAGATAACCTTATTCTATTAGGGTTCAAATTATTTGTTGATTATTTATCAGGTATCTCTAGTTTATATATTGCTTATTTACTGTACTTTATTACTTTAATAAGGATCCAGACTTGACAATACCAAAGACCCCAAAGAGACCAGGTAAGTTACTTCTTGTCCTGTAAACATGCAATAAGTGGCAAGCATACAGACATCACCACGACTGTGCTCTAAGAAAAATTGAGAGGAGCCCTGCAGTGCTCTGAATTTGTGAAATCCAGGGTCTGTGGTGCTCAATTTCTGCATGGAAACTAAGATTTTCTGGTCGCCTGGGAGCGAAAGTTACGGACCAGCTGGGGTCACTGGGCACTGGTAGAGCATCAGCCTTAGCTTGCACCACCCTTAACCAGTGTTAAGTGTACAACTGATGGTTTTCTAATTTAAGGAAATTAACGCAAGTGTTGTAGTTCAAAATGGCCTGAGGTTAAAATAGTTTCAACCTGTCTTGATTCTCAATAATTTCGTTTTATGTTTCCTGCCACCAATTATAAATGATTATGAACAGTGGCTCCAGTTTCACTTGTCTCTCATGAATGCAGTGTTAAAGAAGACAAAGGAAATGGTTGAAACAATTATTTTAACTACAACAAAAAAAGTTTTTTTGCATTTTATTTTAATACAGCCCACCTGTGCAATGATTTTCTTTACTAACTAACTAGCAAATGATTTATATTGTTTGTTTTTCAGCTGATCGAAACAATCTTTCTTTGAATTCCATGAAGAAGAGACAAAGAACAAAAAAGTTTCCTATGACAGAAGGCTCATGGACCGGTCCTGAAGGACCAAAAGGTATGAAATAATGATCAAAGGTATAAACTTGTAATCAGACTTAGATCAAGTCCATCAGGGGTCCTGAATTGGGGACCACAACCACTGTCTTAACACTCTTTATTGCAGCACAGACTTGCTCCGAAAGTACCTTTCTGTACTCTTGTACTCTAGAGGCTGGAATAGCTTTACATAGCTGTAGTTCTTTCATTTGAGTGATGGTAGACTGAGTAAATACATATATTATGTGTTTTTCATTGCTCTCTATGCCCTGGGTGGGATGCAGAGGGCTACAGATCAGTGCAATTCTGGAAGTTTGCAATAATGTAAGGAGGTGAATTGCACAAATCTCTTTTGTATCTTTTTGGAGCCAATGATTACATGGAATGTTATTTTTGTGTGTCAGCCAGGATAACATTTTAGGGGGTAAAAACAAAATCACTCTTTGGAATAGGTATCAGTTCATAATGTAGAATTATTGAGAACCACGTGGTTCATTCACATATTTTGATAAAAAGTACATATTTAAGTTTCAATAAAGCTACTGTAATGCTGATTTTCCACACTTTTTTGCCTGCTACAGAGAATGGTAACAAGCCACGCAGAAAGGCTACAACACCAGGAGCTTCTCCCAAGTCAGCTGTGGGTGGAGGAAGAAGAGTTTCTGCACCTCCTCAGTTTCCTAATGCAGGTTAGAGTCTTGGAGTCTTAGGTTTAGTCTTATCTAGCCTTAGCTGCTGGGTTTGAAAAGGGGTAAAAAAAACCCAGAATGGTAGATTTTTCCTTAGTGCATGGAAAAAGAGCCCTTGTATTAAGGTAATAAATAAGAACAAACTCAAAAGTGGCATTGCTTCCAGGATTTAGGCTACAGGTCTATATGTGGTGTTTTCATTAATGCGCATACAATCTTTCGTTGATTATTGTTGGAGCAAATGAGAATGTATTGTGGATGAGTGATTTGAGGCAAACACTTCAACTTGATCTGGGAAATTTTTGTTCCTCACATTTCTTTGAATCTGTTTTTAGGCTCACCATCACTGCGTAGTCCAACAGAGAACTCCATTGCATCCCTGGTGTCTGCTGCTGCCATTGTAAAAGCGAAATCAGAAAGTGAACGAGAAGGACAACCAACAACTGGTATGTAACAATGATTTCCATGAAACTATTGTTTATGCCTTTGGGTAACTTTACTTGTATGATTTATAGAAATACATGTATAACTAGATACAATCCACACTTGCTACATGTAGTAAGGGCACCTCTCCATTATGGATTATTTTTTGGCCACAAAGAATAATCGATTTTGAGATAAATATTAGCGATAGAAAATCACGACGTTTCGACCTCTCCGAGGTCATTTTCAAGTGTATAAAAGTTCTCTAAATTAGCATAAATAAGTTAAAGACAAGTTATAATAGATAAAAATGTGGTGAACGCTAAAATGTGATAAAATATGTAAAAATGTAAAAAGTGCTAAAAATATTTATAAAATCAAAAAACAATGGAAATAAAACAATGTTAACAAGAACTACTCTAAACAAATAATTTGGCGTGAATTGAATCGCACTGTTTGTTAAGCGTCGGTTTCAGTTCTTGGATAAAAAACATTTCAAAAATAAGGCAGTCAAAGAATAATCCTTACTTATTTAAGGTGGATCTCTTTCTAGAGGTTCATCAGTATGACAACTTTAGGACAGGTTTACAGTTTGTGAAGTTTTAGTGGCATCGCAATGTGGAAAACAATCTAACAATTTTCCTTTCTTTCGTTATGTGGAATTATTTTATCTTTGTTTTCTGTTTGTCTTTCTTAGTGAACTCTGAAGGTAAAAGCACCACCAGTGCCACCACTAAATCGCAAGATTCAAGTGTCCTTGACACTTTGGCAACTCTAGCTACAGCTACCTTAAGCCACACTGCATCTTCAACATCTACAACACCTCAGCAGGTCACAGCTGTACCTGGCAGACCCATTGGCATTGCACCACTCACTCTGCCACCAACCACGCCAACCCTAACCACACCCTTGACACCCTCAAGTCTCTTCCCCATGCCATCCCCCCTTGCAGCACTGTCTGCTCTGTCATCATTATCATCACCTGCTCAAACGTCACCTCTTCCACTCTCATTTTCCATGCCAGTCATGACTCCGCAACAGGTATCGACATCGGGAACACAACTGCTACCTCTTGTCCAGCCAGGAGGGACACCATTCTTCTCCAATGCAGCAGGCCTGTCTATACAAGTTCCCACTCCTGCCACAACTGTGGGGGATATAATGTCGAGTAGTGCTACCAGCTCAGGTGTCGCCATCGCGGGAACAGAGACTGGAGTTAAATGTGTGACCCTAAATACTGGGACCACGCCGGTTCCCAATACAGCAGCACACACAGTGATTCCACAGACTGTCATGTCTCCATTTCAGCTGTCAAACAGTTCAGGTCAGGCACTTATTCAGACGCAGCTAGCTCTGACTCAGATGCTTGCTCCAACACAAGGCGTGCAGCCCAGTGTGGTGCTAGAAATGAATGCAACAACAAACAAAGATGGCGTTGGTGAGAAATATGTCTTTCCACCTTCGTACCATGAGATTAGTATTCAGCATTGAAGTTTTTGGTTATTAACCCAACCATAAAAAAAGCCTTTCCAAAAATAGTTTTTCCTTCATCATATCAAGCACACTTGTTTTTATATCGGGTGTTTATTGTAAGGCCTTTCAGTATTTCAATCTTACACATGGCTTTTATTGTGCGACTAACCCGACCCCTGTCACATGTCAAGTGGCCCTTATCACGCACGTTGTTCACGTGCACTTGTCATGTGGTTATTAATTATGTATAATTTATTCTAGATTAAACAATGTCATTTGTTAGGGCTCCATCCTAACAAATCTGGAAATTTTTGAAGCCGCTATTTTTTCACCCGGATTCGTGTGGATGGGCCTTAAACAGGTCTGTAAAGCGGTTTCAAAAAGATGCGATTTCGTTGAGCAGATTCACTGATTTCGTGTTGACAGAAGGCCAAATTTGTGTCAAAGAAGTAATAATATAAAATACAATGGAACCTTGATTTAAGGAACCTCTATATAACGAAGTCCTCGATATAACGAACGATTTTCTTTACCCTAATAATAGTAAAATATATGAAAAAGAACCTCGATATAACGAAACCTCTTTATAGCGAACAAATTTTGTCAGTCCCTCGGCCCTTCGTTAAATCGATTCTTGTGGACGGGGCCTAACTTTTCCCCTGTTTGAATTATTGCAGTTCAAGTTAAAGTTGACCAGAATCAAGCAGCAGAGCTATTAAAAGCCCAGGCCCAGTCACAGGTAGGGTTTATGCCAAGAGTAAGACGTTCATATATGTATTTGAGATATACAAAATGTTAAATCATGAGTACCCGACCTTCTTCTTACTCAGTCGCCCTTGTTTGTAGTGGCTTGCCTCTTTCTGCTCACCGCTTGACAGGAGGTGCCAACTCTGAATAAAACAAGAGGCGGCTCGCAAGTGTGTTTCTGCTCTCCTGTTCAAACTACAACCCAGCACAAATGTTCTTCTCGTCTAGCTACCGGATTCAGAATTATGTAGATTTGTGAATCATCAGTATACATGGGCGGAATTAGGGTCGACCGAGTGGACCGCGGCCACCCCTTTTCCTGTGAAATTTTGTATTTTTTTTAAAGAATTCTCAGTACAAAAATAAATTGAAAATAGTACCTATATAGTTGGCAAGTGTCCCGGCCGCTCCCTTCCGCCTGTGTTCCGACTTTTCTGGATCCGCTACTGCCATACGTTATCCAGGTAGAATTACGACGTTTACTGCCTTTTTCGGTGTTTGTTTTAGCTCACATTAGCAACACACTGATTGTTCACGCTTTGTGTTGTTTTAGATCTGGAGGACTTTGTGCTAACCCTGGCTCGGTGTCCCTTTGCGTTGCGAAAGCTTACGCCACTTTGGCCACCACAAATGTCCTGTACTTTATGTTGCAATGTATTTTAATTTAAATAATTTTTAAAAGATACACTATAATATGTCACTTCCAGGGCCCTTTGTTGGTCCACCTTTTTCTATAAAATGGAGAAATTAAAATGAACTCTGAACCTGTTAACTTAGACAAGATTCGTTTGTCCTAGCCTGCGTAGCTGGCGGAATTGTTCTATTTCAAAGCACCTCCGCCCCTTGGCCTTTGTCCGCACGGCTTCGCAGTTCCCCTGCCAAAACAATCCCTTCGGCTAAGCAGGCTACCTTTGCCCACTCTGTTGGCCTCCTGCTAGGATTACGGTGGTGTGAAGTATTCCTTCTGGAAGTAAGAAAGTAACGTTAATGGCTTAGTCAGTGCTGTATTATACTGCATTAGGTCCTGTCGTGTGGGCCTCTGTTTTCTTAGCGTCATTTCCTTTGTCTCTCTTCTCGGCCTAGCAGTAGGAGTTAATGCTGGATTTTAATAATTCAGTTACAGTGTTTGGCCAGACGCGCAATCCTTATGTGGATCTTCTTCCCCTCCCTGGGTAGATCACATTAGATTGACAGAGTACTTTAAGTTACAATTCCAAACCATCTACATATATTCTTTGTTTCAGGAGGTAGCGAACACTCAGCTTCAACAGGATGGTAGTGACACCAAACAGGATGATGTGAATCTGTCTCAGAATGTACAAGGAACACAGGAAGTTCTTATAACGCTTCAGGTTCCTGCTGGATTGCAGCACTTGCAACCTCAGTTGGTTACAGATCCAACATTTGGACTGCAACATGTGCAGTTGGTTCAGCCAGTATCTGGTCAGGAAGCGCAAACAGTAAGGCATTTTGAAGTTCTGGTATCGTTTCGTTGCGTTTTATTTTCTTGGCCAAAAAAAACGTAATTACTTGTTGGCTTTGAATCTTGAGCCTGTAAACTCTTTTATATAGTAGTCCCAGTGTAGTTACCTTAAAGAGAATACCTTCACATGTTTAAAGTGAACACGATTGTTGAAAACAAGCGTTTTGCGAGGGTGGCGTAACATTTCAGTAGCCGGCAGGTGTGTTGTAACGGGAAGGTTGCTGCCTCATCCCCAGTTCGCTCGCGAGTGCTTATGCCGGGGATCCGTGCTCCCCGCGCGCTCAGCCTTGAAAAGCTTGTGGAGTGGGGAGGCAGGGAATGCTGCCAGTTTTCATAAGACTTCCGTCGTGGGGAAATGACCCAGCTAACCCTTAGCATCCATAGGCATAGCGGTTCAAATTCTGTTGGAATCCCCACGCACATAACATAATTAATAACGCAATAATACCTCAGATTCATTTGTGTTATTGTTAAGAACGATCAGGGATTTTAAATTTTTTCCTTCTCCTCACTTGATGGTGGTATTCGTGTGTTACTCGGTTTGGAATAAGACGACGTTAAACGGTATCTTGATGTCGCACCATAAACCATTTGTTGTAGTTAGCAAATTTTTGATTATAATTAATGCCTTCTTATAATCATTGTCATTATTTCCATAAACCTAGCAGACAGTCACAGCTTCATCACAGCCGAACCAAGTCACTATTGTTCAGCAGCCCGATAGCAGTGCACAGGCCACCCAGGAACAAACCGCTGGCTCAGCAGCACAGCAGGCTCCTGTTGTGCAGTTACAACTCCCACAGGATCAGTTGAACCTTGCGCATCTAATGCAGAATTTGGGTCAGGGAGGGTTACCACTCACACCCTTGACTTTAACACCTCAACAGATGCAGCTACTCGCAAGTAAGTAAAGTGAATAGGCCAGACAACCAACTCTCTTTTAACGGACACCTAGACCAAGCCCCTGCCCTTCTTTTATAGGCATTTTCTTTGACTCTTAATTTGAGGAACACGCCTCTTCATTACTGACCTCTCGCTAGGAAGGAAAGTTGTCCCGGAAAAGAGACGGTCAAACCCCCCCCCTCAATCCCCCAGCGGAGTCAGATCTAGCGAGCACTTCTATTAGAAAAAAAATTTACTCTTTTGTCCGAGCCAAGAGCTGACAACAGCGCTCGGGCATTCTCTGACCAAGTTGACCCGGCTGGGCGAGCCAAAGGGATTATTTGGAGAAAACTTGGCCCGGCTAGGAGGGTGTCCCTACCTTCACAAAGGGTGACCCGCTTCGTTCATGCGAGTCATTCCTCCAGCCGAGCCAGTTTTTTGCTTCTCATGTAAAAGTTCGCCAAGATTTGTAAGGCAATGTAGGAAAAGTTAGCTCGCTCTGCAGGGTAGCTCGGCAGGCGAGTGAATCTTCTACCGGGGACAAGTTTTCTCCATGTAAATCGGGCCTTAGTCCTTTAGCCATTTTCTTTGGATCACGCTTTTCTCTAAATTTTGTTGCCGCCGACGAGGTGAAAGTACCAAATTATATGCTTTCTTGAGAGCGTGAACTGCAAGGCGACGTAGTTGACTATGACTCTCTGAGGTGGGACGTGTTCGGCGTCTTCGGCTCCAGCCAAATTTTCCAACTTTAAGTAATCACACGACTTGGGTTACAAGGGTGCGAAGTCATTTTTTAGGCAAGGTTTCATTGGCCTCGCGCTCATCGAATGTTAAGGTCCTTTTAAGGGAGGTTAAACTTCCAAAGCAAACTTGAAACACTCGGAGACAAACCGCTTTGCTCAATTATGTTCATATGTTTGTCAGTGATAGTTTTTAGGCGTTCACATGTAGCTTTATTTTTTCTTGTTTTTCGATTTCGTAGATTCACAGTTACAGATTGGTAATCAGATGCCGCAGTTGAATCAGAATTCACAACAACCGCGACAACAGCAGGTACAACAAGCCGCAGGAACAACCCAACAACAGCAGCAGCAACCACAACAAAATGTCACTCAACAGTTGTTGGCACAGTCAATTCCACAGAGGACGTTGCTACCACAAAACTACGTCACACAACTCGGCCAGGTGAGCGGTATAATTTCTTAGCCTCTAATTTCTTGTAGCCGCTGGTTACTTACACCGATGTGATTAGTTGGAGTCTTGAATGGTCGGTCTCTTCAATGAAACTGCCCAAAATAATTATTTTGGTTTCGGTTTCACAACAACCCCTTAAAAATAGCTCTAATGCCTAATTTTATGTATCTTCTGGCTCCTTGGTGGCTTAGTTGTAGGGCTAACAATTTGCTTGTCCGTGAGATTTTGGAGAGCTGACACAAGACAAGTTACATAAGCGATGGCATTAGATTCAGCTGGTCATATTCTCGTTAGTGAGATTTAAATATCATTGCACGTTTTTGTGTTCAACCTTTTAACTTCTCATGATCCACTAAGAGAGCTTTTTTTTTTTGCCTTCTTGGAATGACTAAACTAACAAGGGGAACCGGAAAACAATGTTGTTGCCTCTTAGGCACGGTTTATATGGAGCAAAACCTGTTGCCAGTAGAAGGGCCACCCTCCCGGCCGAGTCAACTTCAGCAAGCGTTCATATGAGGAAAAAGTTCTTCCCTTTGGCCTCGCCATCAGCGCTCATGTTATTCTGCATGTGATCTCATTGTCTAAAACAGCGCTGGTGCATGCTCTGATTGTCTCACCTTGACTGAGTTGACCCGGCTGGGTGAGCCAAAGTGTTTATATGGAGAAAAGTTGGTCCGGCTAGGAGGGTGACGCTACCATCACAAAAGGGTGACAGGGTAGGCGAGTAATCCTTCCAGCCGAGCCAAAGTTTGGTGTCTCATGTAAACGCGTCCGGATGAGCCTTCAACCCAAGACAACTTTTCTTCATGTAACGGGGCTTTACAATGACAGTAAAATGCCCCTTTGTATTGGTTTGATTATTTGTTCGTATCATTTGATTGTCAGACTCCTGTGCAAACAACAGCAGATAACCAACAGCAATCGCAACAGCAGCCTCAGCAGCAACAACCATTGATCGGCCCTCAGGTTTTACTGCAAGTTAAAGAAGACCTTCGTAAGCTGCTGGAGCAACGACAAGCAGAGGAAGAGAAAGCTCGAAAGGACCTTGAAGTCAAACTCCAAACTTTGCAACGAGACAGCGAAAAATATCGCACAGAGCTTGAACACGCACAGAAAGAGGCCCAAGACTATCGCGGACGGTTAGAGGAAGAACAGAGAGAAAACTCAAGACTGCATCAGTTGTTTGAGGCTTCGAAACAAAGCAAGAATAGCAGCTCTGATGAACAAAAATAACTTACCTTCCAAGTAAATAGAGGCAGAATATCTTTACAAAGAGTGACGTAAGTCTTTCCTTTTGGAGTCCATTTTAGCAACGCACATATTAACGGTATTAATACACTTCATACAGCTTACAGCGTAATGATTCAATTATAGCTTCGATAGCGTTTTCATTAATAAACTTAGCCTGCGAGCAAACTGTTCATTTGTCACGAAAAGTCACCCGAGAGCTGCACACCAAAGGAGGTTTGTGCCGCTCGCTCGTTCTCGCGCAGCTGGCTTCGTTCGCCATAATTGGAGAACTCACTCGCAGCTAAAATAAACTAAAATGTTAGAACATCCTTGTAGTGAACAACAAGCAAACTCATTTCTTGAGTCGTCAGTGGGAGAAACTCTCGAGAATGAGAATCGCAAAGAACAAACGTGATAAAAATTTTAAGAAACCAATCCGTTGTTTTGATTGGCGTTGGGCGTTGCGATAAAACGTAAAGCGCTCAAAAATTCATTTTATTGTTGGTTTGTTTGTTTTTTTTTTTACCACACAAGACATCTGGTGACGCATCTTAGTCTTGGACTCTATGAGGAAAGGTTGCAAATAATAGTATTTGATAAGTCATACTATACTGACATTTTTAACATTTCGTTTTACCAAGAAATACATTCTTGCTTTTCCATTATTCCGAAGATCTACCACTTACATTGTCGCGTAAGTGACCGATAAGTAAGTCCTGGCATAAAGATAGTCAGTGATGTCCAAGTAATGACTTAAGAGACTAATCCTTTGGGTTGTAACTTGAGGACTGTACATAGCATTCATTCGTAAAGAAAGGTTGCGGATATATTGTGTTGAAGTTAAGTTATTGAGTGCAGTACGTATTTGTTAAAAGTATTATTATACTTAGGTTATTTGTAATATTTGCAGCGAAACCAGAGAATCAACTCCAAACTGTTTCGTCATATTCGAAACATAACCAAGTTGACTTTTTTTTATTTGTGCGAAGAAACGTATTACAGTCTTTCTTGGTGTTATTAAAGCTAAATTATAACCATGATAAAAGTTATGAAGGGGATTTGAAATAGGTGCCAACATTGTTCTTGGAAGGGGCCTGAGGAAGAAGGTCCAGAGAGTTTAGAGAGATTTCTATTTTTCTTCGGTTTTTTAAACTGTCATGTAACGCTCGGCCACCCTGCCTATGCCAAAAAAAAAATCCTGTAGTATTATTAGACATAAAAGGATAACAAGAGTTTGAGTTCACGGTCAGTTGAACTTGTAAATAATCATTCGTGTAACAAAGGTAGCTAACTTGTGAATTGTCTTTAACGGTTAAATGTACGTGTTGTGATCTGAAGACTTTGATCATTTTTCTCCATTACGTAACTCGAATATTCAACAGCAATAAAGAAGGAAATGAAAAACCAGCGTGGTTTATACTTTATTTCAAGTTCACTGTATTAAGCCTGGTTTAAAGTTTCTACTAGCGACTCGAGCGTAACGCATGCGCAAAAATAAGGGTCCTTGTATCAACTGGAAACGAACACACCGAGCACAAGTAATTATGTTGTAAATCTCGTACTCAGATCTCTTGAGAGATCCTGATGCCTCCGTCGGGCCCTTTTTCATACTAAAGTAAGATTCTTATGCTTTTCGCTAGCGTCGCGCCGCTATTAAAACTCCCCCCAAACTCTGTAGGTTGCTCATTCCCTGGCGTTTTTAGACTGTTCTCGGTTCAAGTTCAGACGTGAAGACTAATTTAAATTAGGTAAGTAGTATAGTAGGAATCCGTTTGGCCTCTCTGGAGGAATGGACCGTAATCAGAGAGAAAACGTCACAACGCAGAGGCTACAGAAAGATGGGAGACCAAAAATCGAGAGTTTATTGTGAAAAACACGAACAATTTTGAAAAATTGAAAAACTAGCCCGCACTTTGGCAGTTATGGTATAATTTTAAAATCGAACTTCAACTCTGTTGTTTCCTGTTCTAAAGGTGATCTTAAACGGGACGATTCGCAACGACGATTTTTAGTGCAACACAGCGTTGCAATGTTGTAACTCGCGACAATGTTGCAACGCTTTGTTGAGCTAAAATCGTGGTTGCGAATCGTCTCGTGTAACATCTCATTAACATCTCTGTGACCGTGACATTATCAAATATAACAAGCTCGTGATCAACGAACATGGTCTTTATTCTTTTGATTCATGTTTCTTATTGTTTAGATTTTAAAGCAACTACGTGATTAGCAAAAGACACCGTCAAAGCGGCCGACACAATTTTATGACATTTTCTGATCATTACAGGTACAAAAACAAAATTTAAAACTACAGTCGACGGGTACTTTTCTTTTCCACACTCCCACTGGAACTTGACGTTTTCCTTTCTGTATTGAGGATAACACCCGACACTCTCCTGGGTGGTGTGTGGGTCTGTTTGACCGCAAATGCCGAATTCTCATCAACACCTTGGAAAGATTGCTCAGAATGGCCAACTTTAACCTTTCTTCTCCTTCCTCTTTTATTACCAGCAACAGGCGATCTTGGGTCTTCAAAATTGCTGTTATCTTGTAGAACTCGTCTGTTTCTGCGACAGTGAGAGCTTGAGTTAATGTTAGCAGGCTGTTGAGGTGACAAAGATGGCACAGTTTGCGCTGTTCGCTTTCTTGATCTTGCGCATGCTCTCTTCCTCGCAGATGATGGTGCTGTCCCTTTCTTTCGCTGCATGTCAGTGGTAACCTCAACCGAAGCTGCTATTGATGTCATATCAGTGCAAACACCTGGAACCCCAGCGTTTAAACCAGCCATATTTCCATCTACAGCTGAACTAAGATCATCCACCAGGACAGCAACTGTGGGATCATGAGAGTGATCGATATCCCCACCGGGGGAAAGTAGAATTCCCAACGGAGATAATAACGGGGACAAGGTGACACCCAGGTCGCTTAATCCCTCTTGGCTGATAGTGGAAACGCCGTCGATCACGCTCACAAAAAGATCCTGACGGGAGGAATCGCCACTCTCTGTGTAGCTTGGAATCTCGACGAGGGGTATCAATCTGGGAGTAAGCTCTTGTGATAAAGCCTCCTCTGGGGACTGCGGTGTCAGCACCGGTGTGTCATCATTGAGGTCTACCGACAGTAGTTGTACTTGTTGGAATGGGGCTGACAGAGGTACCTCTTCAACAGTCACAGAGTCATCATCAGGATACTCACAATCAACAGCAAAAACAGTAGCTCCCTCAGGGCTCACAAATGAAAAGGACCCTTCCTCTGCCGACAAGGACAAAAGAATGGGAGATGTTAAGGTAGCTGGGGCGTTTTCTGGGCTATTTGAACCTGTCTCATTCTCAGGTACGAGTGGTTGTGCCTCATCATCTTCTACACTAGTAACGTTGTTGGAAGGATCAGGGACTGTACAATCCGTTGTGGATAATACGCGTTCGGCTTCTGTGACAGTTACGGGCTCCACCTTGGCACTTTTTTCGTCAGAAGTGCCTTTCGACTGGGCGTCTTGCTTAAAGTGATCTTGGACTTGTAATGTTGGCCATAAACCCGCATCTATAGCAAGTTGATTGAGAGAAAACATTTAGTTAAAAGTGGACAATGAAGTTGAATAGACAGCTTCCACTGCATGAAAAGCAAAGAATTCACTGGGTATGCTTGGTACGTGCGGTCAAACGCGAAAAGTTCTCTCATCTGGGCACTGCCTGCCCAAATATGTTCCTGTTGCTAAACAAAGCTGCAATTTTACTCCCTCACCATACCTTGAATTTTCTTTTCCAGGTTCCCTATGTACTTGATGGCTTCCTGCAAAATTAGTCCCTGCAAAATGTACACAAACATTGTTAAGTTGCTTTAATTGGTAATATTTATATCTAACGTCCTTCTTGAAGAATCACCAAATAGAAACCTGTGATACAATAGCCCACGTTCCATAGATCAAAATTCTAACATGACTCCGAGGCTTTCTCAGTTCTGGCCATAATCTATATTTGGTTTAGTTTTCTTTGTGCTCAAGTCTCTTTTGGGAATTACGAGACAACTGAATCGTGAAAAATTCACAATTTTGTCCGTACAGCCTCGGAGACATGTTAGGTGGAACACACAAGAACGAAAAGAAAAGTAATAAAATGTTTTGGAGAAATTTGGAGATAAGATATCCACTTACACGACTATAGCTCCTCGGTAAGCGTGGCACAACACGTCTGAGCTGTTCAAACGCCTTCTTGAGATCAGCGTCATATTTCCTACAGTACAATAATACACGTTCATATTATACATTAACTCACTAGTTTTTCATTGTTTTAGAACCTATGAGGTTAATTTTGGAAATAACGACAGCCTGCCTACCCCGAGATTATTTACTAATCTTCTAACAGATACAGATGGTTGCCCGCTCAAGGCATGATATTTTCTATTCTTTCTATTTTGGAAAATAATCAACTGTTTTCTTTGCGAAAAAAAAAACAATGCATAATAAAACAGTTGATCTTTATATTCCGTCTGAATAGACCTATTCGGCTAACTCAATGTTGTACCCAATTCAAATCTCCCGGGGATAAGATTCTTTGTGTATTGCATTTGCATTATAATGTGGCATTCACATTTAAATGATATGGAAATTCTTGAAACAAAACGTTTTATTCCCAAAGGGTTTGAATTGGGTACAACATTGAGTTAGCCGAATAGGTCTATTGTTAAGGCATCATCCAACAAGAGGAGGAAAATAAAATTGAAGAAAAAACAGTCCTTTCTGAAACAAATGCAGACGAAGCTTAAACGAAGCCTCCTGAATTGCTTACAAAATACGCCTACTCCACTTTCAGCAACTGAATATTTCTGTTGAACCTCAAAAAAGAATGTAAATCGTAAATCATACCTGTCTCGGACTTTCTTTCTTTCTCTGTTTTCTCTGTACCTGTTGCCCTGTGAGACTGGTGTAATTTTCACTTCATCAGTTGTTTCTTGTGCCGACAACAAAGGTTCTTCATTATTTGCTTGACATTCCGAATCTATAACGCCTGTAAGTACAATTAGTGAGAGGTTGTTTTCCAACTACAATGTAATTGAAGAGATTTACAAATAAACCGAGAGCGGGGATTAAAATTAAAATAGAGTATGTGACCTCTACAAGGAACATCAGACATACCACGACACTGTCTGAGAAACGAGCGCAAAATACCATACTGATGACTCGTCACTACCCGTATCTGTGTAGTGCTTCTGATTGGTTGAAGTAAATTTCTTTCGCGACGCGACCAATCAGAACCACTACCCAGAGGAGTAGTGACACCTCATCAGTAGTCGTTGCTCCGACGTCATTTCAAGGGGAAACCAGTGGTAGCGTCACAAAATGTCGGCTGTTTTCTCAGACTGATAAGTTCATCTGTTTTATGTAATAGCGGCAATGAATAAACCAAATGGTTAATCGGCATAAGGGTCCGGATGACCTTCATTTCTTTAACCACAACAAGCATTGCCTATCCCCCCTTTTGTCAATCAAAGGTCACATCTATCTTTTTAGCCACAGGTCATCAGTACATTTAAATAATATCAGTCTCGTTATCTGCTATAACAATGATCAACAAGCCGCCGAAACACATAGTACAAAGGATAACTTTTACTTAGTTTATACAAAGATTAGGGTGGTGAGAATAACCCCTTCATTCACTTCTGAACACTAATGCTACACAACCTTTAGTATTTAGACACAGAGGAAGGCTATTAAACTATTCAGAATAAATATAAGTTACAAGCTCCTTGAATTTATTAAATCATCAAGCCCCATTTCTAGCTACAAAAAGCCGTTAGTGTCGTTCGTCTTCTTTCTGTATGTGAATGTTTACCTTCTCTATCCTGGTTATTTGCCTCCTTCACAGCAGGAGTTGAACTGTTATCATCAGGAATCTTTTGTGTCGGCAGGTTTTGTTCTGGACTCTAATGTAAAAACAGAACAGGCATATGAGAAATGTAAGATCAAAGGAAGGATTAGCTCAGTCGGTAGAGCGCTTGACTGCAGAGCGGGAGGTCGCGGGTTCAATTCCCGGGGCCGGACCAATACTCAGGGTCTTAAAATAACTGAGAAATGAAGGTACTCCCTTTGCACTGCAAGCGGCTGGACCTTCGCGTAGCTCGGTTGTCCGTTGACCACGTAAAATGGCGGTCCTGTCTCCAGCTGGAGACGTAAAAATAGTGCCCCTTCTTAGTACTTTGGTGCTAAATATATTGACATTCAAATAAAGCGCATTTTTTTCATCATAACTTTTCTTATTATGATGCACCATTCACTTTGACTCCGATCCGTTTATGTAATGACGTTTGCACAGGTTGCTCAGTCAACAAGACTTACCAAGGAGTACAAAGAATTCACAAAAATTAGCAATTTGGTAAGCAACACCACTTTGAAGGATTAACATAACGTAGTTGGAAATAGTCTGTAAAGGCACAAGGTTATTGGGTGTAATATAATTATTATTCAACGCTTCGTTCAGTCAAAAAGACATTAAACTGAATCACATAAACAAACTGCCGAACTGCAGCAATTAAAAGGTGTAGTGAAGTCCTGAACCATAATAATCGCTTTGCTCACCTTATTGCTTTCATGCTGCGGTACCTCTCGATCACAGGATACCTTGTCTGTTATGCATGTCAGGGGGGACTTCTCTATCTCAGGCACCGTGGCCTCCTGATTAGCAGGTGCTAAAGCTTTGCAAAATAGTGGCTCTAATGACCTCTGAAATTTAGAGAAATATATAAAACAAAGACAACAAAATTAATGTAACCTAGTCTATTTTAATTTCATCATGGAGCGTGCCAAATTCTAATATGGAAGAATCCACATGGCCTGAGAAATTACAGTGGTCATTTTGCAATGCCACCTCTGGTTTCCAAGCAAAATGACAGGTCATTCTGATTGGTTATGTCACATGGGAAACTTGCTTCCGCCAATACGAAGTACCTGATCTTGGTAACTGACACCTCATTAGTATGGAATTTCTGTAGTCATTTCCCCAGATATAATTTTGTGAGGAAACCATGCATTGGCATTGCAAAATGTCCACTATTTTATCAAGCTAGAGTCCACAGTGTTTTGATATGGAAGATCAAGCCCTCACAGTGATTTGTGAATAGTTCACATCATATTAAAACAGTTTAGAGTTTACAGTTATTACTTTGAAAGGATTTTTCTATCTTGAAATTAAAGTAATCTGTAAAGGGATAGAAACATTTGGTAAGAATTCTAAGCCTCAGTCATACTGTTCACCTTTGTTAGCTTCTCAGTGCTACTATTTTCTCTGGCTTTCCAAAGTCGTCTAAAACCTTGCGGTGGTAGACCTGTCAAAAATATTGGAATTGAATTGAATTGGAGAAAAATTACTGTAAAATGTAGAGGAAAGTGAATGTGAAATGCTTGTGATAAAATAAAACACATAACTGTCAAAAAAATTGTTTGTTACAATAACAATAATAATAATAATTAAAAATAATAATAAATTTATTATAATAATAATTATTACTATTATGTAACAAACAGTAATTATTACAACAAACCTAATAACCTGGTCCCACAGTATACACCCTAAATAAGACCATTTTAACTCCAATCAACAGTCAACATTGAATTTTGGCAAAAAATTGTTTTACCTTGTAGATAAATAGGTTGATGGCTTTCTTCTACTGTGCGTGTATAAAAATTATGCCGATGACTTGCTAGGCCCTTCAAGTGCCTGTTGTTTCCTTGAACAATCACATATTTCTTCTTGTTTCCCTGTAGTGGTTGTATTGGAGTTGTTGTGGTAGACACAGTAATCATTGGAGAGCCCTGTACACCACTGCTTCCCTTGTTAGGGCTTGGTGATACTCTCACCCTTGTGGACGGTAAAGGTGTTCTGACTTGCTTGTAAGCTCTTGGAGTCCATTCTACATCTGGAGGATGCATAGGTCTGGGTTCTTGCAAAGGAGTTGTGTCTGATTTAAAAAAATCATTTAAATCAAAAGTTATCCTCTAAATTAAGACTATTTTTTTTGTTTTTTGTCAACTACACAAATGGTATCTCTAGTGGTCTAAGCTAGCATTTAACTATACCGACTATAATAATTTAAAGGAAGGGTTCCTCAGAAACAGAAACAAGGTCAGAACTCAGAATTCCCATCCCTAAAAGAACAACATAATCTAATCACCAGCACTTTTATAGCTTAGATGGGGTCTTGAGTGTTCAATTGTCTCTAAGATAAGAGTACATTGAAATAAATATGTACATTGTTATCTATTGTTTGGATGGGTTTCAATATATAAGTCAGGTCAAAGGTACTTACCATTCTGGAAGGCCAAAACTTCTGTTACTTTGTCTTCATGGTCAGAGGGGACTGCCAGAAACTTATTAGCTTCTTCTTGTTCATGCAGCAACTGAAGTCTTTCTTTTGGAACTAAATTTTCATAGTAAACTGGAGTAGGAACTACAAGCACATAACAAGACACAGGAGTGTTTGGGTCTGGTTTTGGTGCAATTGGTACACCATGACCAACATCAGCTACCACAGAAAACTGTTGAGGCAAAATTGATGATACTCCATGACTGCTTGTTAAAAAATGTTGATGCTGTCCCCTAATGGAATATTCTGCGGTATTTGGCTTGGGAAGTATGTTGGCTGGTCTCCTCTTACTTAGCTTTTTGAAAAGTGGAATAGAGGAAAGGAATGCCTCTGGCGAAAAGGAATCAGCAGTTGATGAAGACTCCTCCTCTGCTTTGCTGTTCTGGTAATGCTCATTGAAAGTCTTCACAGCATAACTTAAACGTTGCAAGTAACTTGAATCACATGAATCATCCTCCGACAAATCTTGTTCTTCCTCTTGATTGATCCCTTCCTTACTAGCATAGCTCATTGAAAGATGATCACCAACAGAAGACAATTCACTTAGTGAGGAAACTTTGTTTTCAAAGTCTTCTTTTTCTGGAGGAAGATTTTGTGATAGCTGCATTGGCGTGGTTATTCTTTGGTTTGCTGTTGGCACCAAAGCCGCAATAGGTGAGACTGAAGTAATTTCTGGTTGACTGCATGGCACACTGTGATCTCCTAAAAAAAGGAAAACCCGATATACTTCTTAAAAGCTACCAGAAAGACTACATCACTTCAGAATACAGTCAACTCATATCTTAACAACTAGATAATAACTCCCTAAACTGGACAGCTAGAATTGGGTTTCTTAATATTATTCATTCATTTTGTGGCCTTTCTACAGCAGACAGTCTCTTAATAAAGTCTTAAGACAGACACTTGTGACCATTTCCAACAGTGTTCTGGCTGTATCATGCTGTATAGCCAATAACTTATACTTAAATTTTTGTATAGCCTAGTGATTTCTGTCTTTATTAATTTAATACTTCTTATTGTTTTTTTCATAGCTTCAGCTGCATCTAAGTAGTTTAGTTTTTTCATCTGAACAGTGAATCAAAAAGCCCTCTTGTGCAAACGTTTGCTCACAAATTTTCTGTTATGATAAGTTTCTAAATGAAACTATATGATTATAAATTTACTAAAATCATACCTGATACATCCATGGGACTACTCTGTGAAATTTCGTGGAGTGATGGAAGCATTTGGTTTGAAGCACCTTGGACATCACTGGTCATTACTAAATCCTGTCAAAGATGATTGCAGCGATGTAAGGCAACTATACTTGACAGTAGCTACATAAAGAACTGATCGATAAGTCATATTTTTAGTACAAAACAAGTGATTTGTTTTTAATTTAATCTAATTCAGGTGACGCAAATATAAATTAGCTTCAAAATGAGTGCTCCTGAAGTTGACTCGGAAGATTGGCGGGATTTTTTAATCTGTTTCGTGGATATTGTACTTCTTAGATATAAGATATGAAAATGACAAGTTAACTTGCTTAAATATCACTCAGTGCCACTACAGATGGTATAAGACTCACGTTTGTTGATTCAGGAAGATATTCAGCATCAACTGAAGCAGAATATGCTATTTCGTCTTGATTTAATACCGATCCACAAGAAGAGACATTATTTGAAGAGGCGTCACCTTAAAAAGAGAGAGAACATGAGCTATAAACCGTTGCTTCAGGTCGTTTATGTAAGCAAAAGACAAGCACATCTTTAAACACATCGTTAATACACTGATGACTAGACTCTTTTTAAGGGCTGGAAAAATTTAACTAATTAAGCATAAGCTTAAGCTTCAAGTGCTTTTGCAGCGGAAACCGAACAAGTTTTCATTCTCGCCAGCCAACTGATACGAGATTTTATTGTCTTACCTTTTGAGGAACCAAGGAACTGGTCCTGATTAACTGAATCGTTCACAGATTCTTCTATATCTTCCATTCTCTGAAAAAAATAAATAACTTGCAAACTGTAAGCTAATTTTCCCTCCAAAAGAGTAAAAGCTCGTATGGTCGTCATAAGTTTCTGTAGCTTACCCCGTACTTTATAAACTTGCCTAACCCAAACAACAAGCGTCTAAAACGTTAAGAACTGTTCTCAAAAGTCTTCATATTGTAAATGGTTGCTGGAGCACAAGGTTTCGCTCACAACGAAAAGAAGACCTCAAACTTTCATCGAATTGACAGACTTGCTAGATATGGCCGCCAAAAATTGATATCACGTGACTTGAGTCAAACTCGTCTCCAGGTTCCCAAGGGCATAGAAAAATAGCACATTTAGGGTTTTGTCTCAGGGGTTTGTAGGGGTTCCCACTTTCCAGCTCCTGATACTTAATTTCCTCAGGAGGTTCGAAATTTATTAAAATTCCGCGCATCTATGCCCTTTGAAACAAAATAACTGAGCGAAGAAAAAGACAGTTGTAGTGACAGGCTAGGGTTTTCAAAACGAGACAAAAGGACAAAAGAAACAATTTAAAAAAAGTAAGATCAGGAAAATGAAAACGTAAAAAAAAAATAAAAATGGACAAATAAATAAACAGAAAAAAAGGTTGACCCCCAACCCCATCAAAAATGTTAACTGGTCGCTGTCGTCGTGTTTCACTAATGCTCGATTTTAAGATTGTAAGCTGTTTATATACGAGCATAATTGATTCTCTCTGATCCCAGCAGCTAATCGAGTTGGCTTTGCCCTGATGGTATTCCTGGTTCTAGAAACGTCGGTACTATACAATAGACGAATTTTGTCGTGCTCTCATCGCCGATTTCAGCAGCATGATTCTAGCACAATCTTTGCAAAGGTTTTGCGAAGGTTTAGTTTTGCTCGATACGTCGGAGGTATCTTTAATTTCACCAAACTCGCCACAGATTCTATCGAGAACAGAATCCACAAAATTCCTCACATACAAAACGGCCCGCAAGTGCCCTCTTGAATGTGAGCGAAGCACACATTCTCCATTTGGGGAACTTGCACGTCGCTCTTACCAGCGAAAAGAACAACGATTGAACAAATCAATAAAACAAAGAACCGCACGAAATGTTATTAAGTAACCCTCTCTGTCCTCACACTTCCAAGATCATTTATATTTCCTGTACTTTGATGTGTTTTTGCATAGCAAGGCGAAATGGGAGGCGAAAAGGGAAGTTGTGCGCATTCGAACGTGTTACCATTGTCGTTTATATCACGATAGTACTCTTGTCCCCTCTCATTTTACATTAGAACTAGAGGCCATCACATTTCATTTTTTCGAGCTCGTTTAACCCTTTTAAACAAATTCAAAGGAACAACAACCTCTCAAGAAGACCCCTGAAGCCAATAACTGACCCGAGGTCAACTTTAATTTGACAATTTTTTTACGACGAAAGGTTACATTCAAAATGTGAACTACAAACATTTTTAATGTTTGCACAAATTCATGGTTATAAATGATACTCAAACTGCATGCTTGGACTAAAAAGCGGTTCATTATAACAGTAGTGCAGGGTTTCTGGTAATATACCGGCCTATAAAAAACTACAAAACCAAAACAGCGTCAGAGTCAGTAAACCTCTGGCTGACATCATCTCAGGAACCGCCAACAGTTCAAACCAAGTTTGTGCGCTTTAGAGAGTTACTTATATCATGTTAAATAGGGTCTCTATGTGCTGGTTGGCAATGGCAATGATTGATTAAATACCTGACGAGATACATTTTAAATGTCGATAAATAATTGGCAAGCTACTCGCCAAATGCATTGTCCACGTGCAAAAATAACGAGAGAGGATAGAAACTGAACTAGCGTTTCTAGTAGCTTCCTCCTGTTATTGCCGGCCCCAAGGCGGTTTCTACCGCTTGGAGTCGGCCTCATGTCTTAACATTGGGTTCTGATTTTTTAACTTGTTTATGTTACTACACTAATAAGATTGGTTTTAATTTAATTAATGACACTCCAATGAAAACAGTCCTAGCCCTACGACTAACATTGGAATAACACAAACACTACGACTAATGCTATATGTATTTAGGAGCTGTATGAGTTTATGATTTTTTGTGCATTCCGTGTCCTCCTACTCATGCCTTTGATATGCGAACAAACCGCTTCCTCGGCGTTTCATAATAAAGTGTGCGATGACCAAGCCTCCTGCAATGCCCACCACTAACATAACAATCGCAATCCCTGCTGTCGCACCTTTCGATACACCAGAATTCTTATTGCTTTCTTTTCCTGGACTTGGTTTACCAGAGGGTGTGACAGGAGCGGGCGACGGGGGACTGGGAGCAAAACCAACAAAGAAGGAATCCTTGTAAGCAGGTAGTGTTTCTGTTGAGAACAAAGAACTGTCAGTTTATAATAACAATCAAGCTTGTGACTTGTAACTCAAGACTAGCGAGCACGCAATACACTGGACAAGATAGGTAAATTATCAGTTTAATCACCATCATAACACACCATTATCATTACTATTATCATAAGTAGGTTGAGCATGATGATAGAGGTGAGAGTAGTCCTGGATAGGACTGTTGTTGCTGACAGTGATCAGTGACGTTTCAACAACCTGTGCAGTAGTCATTTTCAGAGTCAGAGTGAGTTGTATCACGTCAGTTGATCGAATTTAACTCTGGTTATTGACTTGATTGGTCAATTAAGTTCTGTTGTTATTGGTCGTCTGTCAGTTAAGCCGTGATGTTATTGGCTATGAAGACGGTAAATGCCATTGGTGCGTCTCGATCCGTGTTTCGTCACAGTTTAACAATCGTTTATTGTTAGTCAAATTATGGATTGTCCAGTCATTCTCCCGTGCTCAGTTTTGCTTGAGTCCGTCACTAAGTCGTTTGTACGGTGCTGGTAATTGTTGACTGCGATTCAGTGGCGTTTGCTCTAGGTTAGTGAACCAGCTGAATGGATTTCAATAAAAATCAGCGAAGCTCTTGAGGGCGAACACCCTGATGAAGCAGTAAAAATGTTACTTAACTGGAGCATGCTGCTAACAGGAATGATCATTTTACGTGGCCACTTAATTCAACAGAGATTTATCAAGAAGACCGAAAGAAGAGTAAGTTGTCTGTTAAAACTAAACTCTCCTCTAAAAGAGGCTCCTCTTGGCTGTTTGTTCAATATTCACTAACCATTCATTGTTGCCACTTTGAAGTTCCCAGACGCTACGGAATTCTTCAAAGCATCCAAAGCCTCTAGAAGTCCTTTCTCAGAATAGACCACTACATCAGCTCCAATTGCATTGGGCTTGTCTAGCAATATAAATGCTACATCAATGTCTGCTTTTTTATCTTTTCTTCCTTCCAACACCTAAATAATAGTAATAATAATAACAATAAACAGATAAGGTTAGACAACATTCTCTCCACTTAGAAGCACCCCAAAGGATAAGCAAGCCCTCATTTCAGATCAAATGCAGCCTTTATTTAAGATCAAATCCATTATTTGCCACAAGCGCATCCAAGTCCACATTTTTTATATGAACCAGGAACAGAAGAGCTTTTTCACAGTGATAATTTATTCTCAGTGAGCAACAATGATCATGTTTGACCTTTCATGTTCACATTAATATTAACAAAATAGATGTGATGCTGATCTGTCATAAAGTAGTCCTTACCCGGATTCCATTCACCCTGATGATTGAGACATTGGCTGCAGCACTAATGGCCTTGGTCACATCAAGTTTGAACTTGTTTGAACCGCTGTACTTGTCATAGTTTCCTGATAATATAATTTGATCATAACTACATCAGCGAAATACAATGTAGCTTTACTGATTGCAATGTTGTTTTTACCTTTTAAGCAATGATAACAACAACCTCATTCTTGTGGTCAATGACGCAATTATGATGCATGAATGTCTCAAAGGTCTGTCACCTTGCTACTTATCAGATAAATTTTCAACGCGAGCCATTGTCCATGATAGACAGACAAGGTATAGAGATAGTCTCAATATTCCATCTTGTAGAATTAATGCTGGCCAACGTGCTTTTTATTACCGTGGTGTGAAAATATGGAACAATTTAAGTAAAGGCTTAAAGGAAATCATAAATACTAAAGTTTTTAAGCGACATCTTATTTAACCCTTTAAGTCCCAATAGTGACCAACATCAATTTTCTCCTAACAATATCCATAGATTGTCAAGTGCAACATCTATGAGATTTAATCAAATGATCATAAAGAGAAAAATCTCTGATCTTTTATCAATTTCTCCCAGCTGATTCTGTAAGGAAATGTATAGAGATCAGTTTGGAGAATTTGTTTGTGGATATTGGGGCTTAAAGGGTTAATGAACTGATTTGTAACATGAACCAGGTTAGATGTTGAATTTTGTACAAAGTTACTATTTAGTTAACGTTGTACACGGTTTTTCAAGTTAATTAAATAAATAAATAAGTTATTCATCCATTTAATTTATTCAATTTATTTTAAATATTGATGCTGAAAGGCCCTTTTTAGGGATGCTCAATAAAGTGTACATACAGTCTAACCTCTCCGTACAGATACTGTACCTCCCTATTACAAACAGTTCGTTTGGTCCCAGAAAAATGCCAAAAATCATACATTCCCTACCTCTATAATACGGATACCTCCGTAAAGCAGACAGTTGGTACTGTCCCTTTGGTGTCCGTATTAAAGAGGTTTGACTGTATAATGTATAATGTATTCTAAATACCATCCTCTAAACATTTCTAATAGTACTGATGAGGAGAATTTGCTTAAACAACCCCCATGAGTGAGTGACCAACATCTATTTTCTCTTAACGAAATCAATACATACTCAAGAGGAAAAGTTATTAGAATAGATAAAGTGATCCTAAAGGGAAAGCGCTTGGACCTTTCAAAACAATTTTCTTCACCAAGGGAACTTTCTGGGATATTGGGAAGGGTTAAAGTCAAGAGGTTACATAATAAATGTACTTAAATATTCTTGATCATTATGCTATAAGGAAGATATGAGATGCTGTTGCCTGCGTGCAGTCGTCTCCTATTTCCTTTGTTGCATGCGGACGTCCCTTTTCCGCATGCAACAAAGGAAATAGGCGACGTCTGCACGCAGGCAAGATATGCTGGTCATGGTTAAAGAATTAAATGTAAGGGAGTATTATAATACACATGGCTTCCAGTCAAAGCACCGTGAAAGGGGTTGCAATGACATCAATGTGTGAATTACACAGGGTGTCAATAGGCACTTTTAAAAATTTTCAACATTATTGGATGACCTATGGGGCAGGGGTATTAATTAGTACATGTATCTTGCACAATGATATAAAGTATACGGCTTGCTTGCATGCAATCACTGTTTTAAGTAGCCTTACACTACTTGTAAATAAGACGTGGCACTCTACTATGCATCAAGCCCCAATATTGCGGTAAACAAGTGTGAATGCACCTAAAAGCAAAAAGACAAGCATATTTATCTTCTACAACAAAACTTCCAAATTTTAAATCTTTACCAGCTAAACTGAAGTGAACAAGGCGTTGCTGTTCAAAAGTGAAGCAGGGCTTGATATCAAACTGGGTCAGGGCAGCAGCCTCAGCATCAAAGTTGAAGACATTTATCTCACTATGACCCCTTGGAAAGTACCAATCAAACCTTACAGGAACTTGATGCTGGTTGTTTTGTGTTCCAGAAAGGAAACGCCAGTTTGGTTTTGAGAAGTAGACCTCCATAACAGACTGTCAGGAAAACACAATATAAAGATTTAGCTAGGGCTAAAAGCAAAGCTCTCGATAATGTACTCTTAATTAATTTATATAACTCAAACAAAAAAAAATAAAATTGTGTAATGTTAACCGGTAACGGCAATGAGATTGGCAAAAAAATCAATACGTCTAATTGATCAAAAAAACAACTTTGCATGACTGTGCAGCACACTTTCTTGTACATTTCTTTGACGTTGTTTTGTACGGCTACATCGTGAAACTTCATAGTTATACATCTTATGTAGAAAATGTCGTATACATGTGCTCACCAAAAGTTTTGTTGCTTGTGTTCCTATTCGCTTTTTGTTTACTGCTGCTCATTTTCACCTTGCTGGCCGCTAGTCTCATTTGTTTTTTAATCTAACGCTTTGGCTGTTTCTCTGTTGTCCATTTCTGTATAGAGTTTTTAGTCGGACTTGACTTTGTTGTTGTTTTTGTTTCTAAAAAGTCTGTATGGCCAAAAAACCCCTAACTTAGTTGCATTACCTGTTGATTGAGTTATTTAAAATGGTATGCCTATGATGCGGACAGGCACGCGGACAGTCACATGATTACCAAAATTTCTTGGATGCATAGATAATCAAATTTTCTTACCCATGATGCTCTGCTGCACACTCTTTGCGTGCACGAGAGCTCCACTAATGAAAAGCTACAATTACAGTAAGTACACAATTAAAGCAGGTGTGGCTCAGTTGGTAGCTAGAGTGCTTTACTGCAGGGTGGGAGATCATGGGTTCGGTTCCCAAGGTCCAACTAATGCTCAGGGATTGACTCAGAAATTAAGGTATCACCTAAGTTGCCATGTAAACAGCTACAACTCTGCATGGCTTCCAAGGATGACCGTGCTGTCTCCTCCGCAGGGGTCTCTTTGTGTTGTGGGGAGACCGGGGAGAGAGAAAAAGAGAGCTCCTGCCTTTTCCTTCTTCCCATTGTCCCCCGCGCTCTTACTATTTTCGATTATTGCTATTTTTATAAGGATACCCAGCGGGAGCCTATGCGGAGGAGAGAGCTGACCACATAAAATGGCAGTCCTATTTCCAGCAGGAGATGTGAAAACAGTCTCCTCAATTAGTGTTTTAGTGCTTAATACATTGACGCTCAAATAAAGTGTATTTTATTGTACTTCAAAGCCCTGTAGTACCTCAATAGTTCTATTTTGTCTTCTGCTCTTCCTCACTCCCTTACCAACCCAGATATCAGCACTTATGCCACGAACTGAAGCAGTTCCTTTGTACACTAATGCAGATGAACCATTTGTTTTTGGCGTATTGAACAGTTCATGTGTCGTCTTCATGCGAATGTGATGATTTTCATCTTCACTTGCATCCCATTCTGTAAGAGTTAAGTTGAAAGGTCTGCAGACATCTGCACCAAGATGGCCACTAGAGATGTTATAACCAATGCCTGTGTTGAAGTCATGAATCAACATCACGGGGCCTCCACTAGGGTTCCGGTAATTTGAATGTTTAAGCAAAGTAAGCTTTTTCTCTAAGTCATAAATTTCCTGTCAAATAAAGTACGGAAGACAATCTGTTAGATTCCCTGCCCAAATTTCTTTGCGTCTGCAGAAGAAACAAAAGTCGATCATGTCACATGTGATAATAAGCCTTAAGGCTTTGTTTCATTAGAACTCCTTGCAGTATTAATTGATTAATGGAATTTACATTCGTATAATTAAATTTTCTGTGTTGAGAATTAGACTTTGAACACTACTTAGCGCTGTTCAGTAATAATACAATTTACAACTGACATGAGGCACTTGACAACTGTTTGTGTATCACGCAGGTCATGCAGTGCTGTCATTTCCCTGCTAGCAGAGGTCTCTCATGATGAGGCAAAAATGAAAGGAAGGAGAGAAACTCTCTCTATCCTTCCCCTCATTTTTGTCTTGTCATGAGAGACCTCTGCTAGCACGGAAAGCTGTCATTAAGGGCCAGGATTTTCCCCGGCTAGTGTGAATGTGACTCCTGCCTACTTTAGTAGGAGAATAGAAGAAATTAAAATAGTTCCAAATAATATCCCTAGCTGTTTGATTCCCTGGCTACTTGTATCGTTTACCTGGCAACTTAATGGCAACTTATTTTAATGGCAGCCCTGATCAAGCCTTATAATAAGCAGTTCACCGCAAGCCACTTGAAACAATTTTTTTCTCAAGTTGTTTGCCGGTTCACTTCCACCCAATTGAAAGTAATTATTCTAAAGTAATTCACCTGTTAACTGCCAGCTATTTGAAATTTCCCTCCAACTGTTCACTTGTTTAACATCAGCCATAAAAATTTTTCAAATAAGCAGTTCACCCATTGCATTCAGCAAATTAAACATTAATGATAAAACAGCAAACAGGGCTCTCACTAAGGGCTGCAGGCTGGGGATTTCCTCTTGCTAATAAGAGCATGACTGCAGGTACTTTCATGGGAAACAAAAGGACAATAAAACTCAAAAATGTCCCAGCTGTTCAATTACCCGCCTACTAATTACATACATGCTTGCAGCAACCTAAAATCTTTGTGACAGCAGCCTTGGCCTTGGCTACTGACCTGTCCAATAACTGTACTTTCATCTGAATGCATGGAAATTCCTACTGCAATTTTTTCTGTTACAGTTAGTTGTACTGTTAATAATATTGTAATGTACCAGTAGTTACCTGCCAGTTAGACACACTGTTGTTAGCCCTACTCCAAATGGCTTCAAAGTCCAAGCTGAAAACTCCAGGTACTAGAGGGACAGTTTTGTTCAAGCCCTTAAGACCAGCACAATACAGCCCCGCAGGAAGCTGAAAATTGGACGCATCTGGAGGGCCAGGACGAAAATCAAAAAAATCATAAACACGATAGAAATTGTGTGTTTTGTTTAAAGGTACTATTGATCCATTCATTCTTTTAAAAGACTCTGAAGTGCCATTAACAGTTGCACGGATTACTGTGGAATTGTGTGCAACCCATGTTGTTCTCCAGTCGGATGCTGAAAAGAAGTAATCCAAGTAATAGGAAGAATGGTTGTTTGAGATGCAAGCCCTCCAGTGGTGACATCTGCAAGACAAAAATGAATAGAAAGTCAATACTAGGGGAAAAGGGTGTTTGGTTTTAGCTCACCACACCTCTCAAAAATTAATTAATTTCAGTGTAGGTGGTTCACACTTTCCTCAAAAATTTTGGCATTTACGACCAACCCCCTTCCCTTCCAACTTTAGATTTTCCAGTGATCCTCCGTTGGGTGGACATGCAGGATATTAACCACGCATGTACAAGTGCCAATATGCTGTACTAAAACTGTGAAAGGTTTGAAACCAGCCGGGGGGCACTGCCATATATGGGCTATATAGGTATGTGCCACTGTGAAGGGTATGGTTTTCAAGCAGTTTACTCTAGGATAGGGTATATAAATCAGAGCGTTTGGGTCTAGAATAGGGTATAATTTTTCAGGAAATTGATCAGTTGGTTGAAGATTTTATCTAGACCAGGGAAACAGCTACTCTAGGATAGGGGGGATTTGGGCAGTTTACTCTAGTATAGGGTAGCAAAATTCAGCTCAACTAGCTCTGGTAAAGGTTAAGGGTTCTAGGGTCCCAGCGGCACACTCCCACCCAAAATTCCTAAAGTACCCCGGGAAACCAGGAGTCATTTCATAAGTAGGTTGAATATGATCATCTGGGTGAACGTAGTCCTGAATAGGACTGTTGTTGTTGACAGTGACTGACGTTTCGACAACCTGTGCGGTAGTCATCTCCAGAGTCAAAGTGAGTTGTGTCACGCAGTTGATGGTATTAAACTCTGGTTTTTGACCCGATTAGATTGGTTCAATTGGTTGATTGGTCAACTAAGATATGATGTTATTGGTCGTGACTGCCTGTAAACCGTGATGTTATTGGCTATAAAGAATCATAATGTCATTGGTGCCTGTCTTTTGTCACAGTTAAACAGTCGTTTATTGTTAGTCAAATTGTCCGTTGTCCAGTCATTCACTCGTAGTTAGTTTTGCTTGAGTCTGTCAATAAGTCATTTATACAGTGAAAAGGGATGGGCCGATTCAAGGAAACACAACATCATCACGATCTCTCAGCAAATGTTTTACTAACTGTAAATAATAATAAACGTTTTACAAACAAACTACCTAAATGCGACTGCAAAATGAAATTCGTGAAAACAATAAAAACGAGGCTGCTTACCAAATGCTGAAGATGTAACAAGGTCGGTGGTTAGGGGAACCGAGAAAAAAAAGACGACTGACACGAACACTAATAGACATGTAAAAAAACTCTGCATAGAAACGGGCGCGATAACATTAACTAAATAATATACAACTAAATTTACATACATTGTGCAGCATGCAAGAAAGGAGCATAATTAACAAAATACCAGAGTGAGACAAAAAATGAAAAGAATACATGATAACACGTAAGTGTTGGTGAAAACGAAAACAAAGGGAAAAATTTGCCACAACATACGGTGCCTATAATAATTGTTGACGTCATTCAGTGGCATTTGTTCTTAGGAAAGTAAACCAGTTTTCTAATGTGAGTCGTGCAGGGCACCCAACAACTATTTTCTGTAAAATATCTGTCCAGAGAAGCAAATATTGCCTAGAATTTTCTGTTGCTTGAGGACAGCTACAAATTTCCAAATGACCGTTCCATTCATGTATAATTTTCGAAACTTATCTAATAAATTCCCTACGATTTTCTGAAGCTTAATTTTTCACATTTCACTCCCCTAGTAATGCTGTTTTTCTGTTAAAAAAAAAAAGCAAAAAAAGGAAACCTAAAATTTTCAGATTCAAAATGTGCTTGAGAAAGGGATCAGAAAAATTCCCACTTTCGTAAAGCGACAAATTGCATCTAAAATTTTCGGGAAAATAACACTGAAGCCCTTGACATTTCGAAAAGGCTCAAAGTCTCCTAAGATGACCGAACAGATACAAATTTTATAGTGCTGCTTAAAATGTATTTCTAGAAATCTAAAACTACTCTTAGTCTGGATACCCTAAAAAGTGCTTTCAACATATAGAGGAAATCGTCATTGGGTGCCCCCTGGTCGTTGATAGTGGTCTGTAGAATACCTTACATGTATACATGTTGCTGACTCTCAATCGCTTTGATGTTTCATCTGTAAATGGTGTTCAGCAATGTGATTGTTGACATTGCAATTTCTTGTCATCTGTTTCAGTTGTTTGTGTTCAGTAAGTTGCATGCTTTAAGGTTTCTGCCAGTATCACCAATATAAGTGGCCTGGCAGTCACAGCATTTGATCTCATATACTGCTTCCTGTGTGTCCTCTGATTTGTCTTAGTTACTAAGATGTTTTGCATGATGATTTACAGACAGTATCTATGCTACAGCCATATTTGGCTTGCTCCTAATCGTCCCCCTCCCCCTCCCCCAGGAAAATCCAGTTTAATTTCATTCTCTCATTCACAGAAGTAAGAAAAATTAAATCTCAATAAGTTCGCTTAGTGTGACATTTTTTACTTCATCTATTTTAATATTTTTTTCATTTTCAGTACTGTAGTTTTTAGTTTTTATGCAGTGCACTATTGAAACCCCCATTATGTGACAAAGGCCATCTGCAAAAAGAACTTTCTTATCATCACTATTATTAAAAACTGCTGCACCATTTCTTAGGTCTTTTCATAACAATCCAGAGGAAATAGGCTCAAGTTGTGTTTTAAGTTCAATATGTTGGTGCAAAGTTCCATGCATACCCCAAAACAAAATGAAATGGAATTTAAACTGAGGAAAAAATTGACCAACAACATAAACTTGTGACTCAGTTTATAAGCACAGTGTATGCTACATGTATGTTTCATATAATTATTAATCATTTGATCCATTTTTGTTATGCTTCTTTGTCTCATATCAACGTAACAGCTCTCAGACAAATTTAGAGGAAATAAAAATAAATACTTAGTAAGAAAACTAAGAAAAATTTGAACAACAACTTTTTCTAACCTATTTTAACACTCGTTTTTCTTTGTCCCAATAATTATGTTCAATACACTATCATGAACATTTTCAAACCAGTGTCAACAAAACTTTGAATCACAATGTAGAGTCAATTATTATGTGTAGTGCCTTTGTTGTTGCATAAAGTTGATTTTTTTATGTCTTTAGTCAATATTTTGGCCAGCTTGAACAACCAGTCACAAGTAAGAAGATTTATGCAGGGCTGTCAACCTATCACGTCTTCGAGTAATGAGAATTGATGAGGAGGGGATGATAGATGATGTTATAATGCACAGCACATGATGTCATTTGTGTAAAAAATACTTCTTAACTCCAATCGTCACGAATTTGCAATAACATAAAACATGTGAAAGCGATGTTGCTGGCATTGTAACATTTAGCCTACAAACGCAGATGTCACTTTTCCGGTCATCACTTCTCTCCATGCAGGCCATGTAACATTTGACCTGATTATTATTATATTACAATGGTACACCGGAGTTTATGAGGAAATGTTTGATGTTAACATAAAAATAGCTTAAACAACACAAAGTAGTTGGGAGATTTCATAATCTGGAGACCAGGAGATACGGTCCAAAATATGGAGTCTCCTGGATAATCCGGGAGAGTTGACAGCACGGTAAATGGAGCTTGAAATAACATAATAAAAACAAAACGTTCAAAAAATGTGCTGTGTCACTTTATGCTGTAAGATCACTGGTGTGGAACAAACAGCAATACCGCAAATTATGCCAGAAAAATATCAGGTTTGTTTAATGAGTTGTTTTTGACAAGAGTTTAACCTGTGTGAGCACGCAAGAATTCTTTCACTACTGTAATAATTAAACATAACTGATAATGATCGACCTGGGATTTTCTGGCAAATGATTGAAATACATGAGTGCCACAGAAACTGTTCAAAATGTTTAAATAAGGGCAATTTTACATACATTGATATTATATCAGCATTCAATGGGCCCTTTCACCATTAATTTCCACTTTCAAATTTGACTAGTTAGGGCACATCCAAACACTGGTAGAAAAAGTGCCTTATAATAAGCAAACTTGCCAAGTTTGAAGATGGTAAATGAGAAACCTCTGTAACGTCAATATCACACAGGGTTCTCAATAGATTTTTAAGTAGGAGGTGATCACTGATAAAGTAGGAGGCTCTTCAGCAAAGCCAGAGGTGTCAAAACAAAGCAAAGAAAAGCGACTTAAACACAAAGTAAGCGGCTATAAATCCCAAAGTAAGCGGCGATCAATCGCCGGGTGCCGCCTTCTATTGAGAACCCTGATCACACAAAGCCATATTCTTGGTTAGTTTGCATCTAGCAACATTACTGATTCTTAAGCCATTGTTTCCAGCAGTGTTGATGAACTCTGCCAAAAGTGTAAAAAAAAAACATGAAAGTGTTGGCCATCACATCATAATGGTCTGCTGAACAAAAAAAACTCTTTTCTTCAAATACTTCCTTACAAGATTTGATATTAACTTCAGTTGACACAAAGTTGCAAAGTAATAATAATAATAATAATAATAATAATAATAATAATAATTTTTATTATTGTTTAAAAAAAAAACACTAAAACACAAAGCTCTTAATATGTCAATATCAAGGGCCTTGAATGTAGGAAGTTGATAATATTATTTGTTTATCAGTAACAGATCATGACCCACTCTTCAGATATCCTTGGAGCTCACTATTTGGGTCTTTGGGGCAAAGCTATTTCCTTATCTTGTTTAATTATTTGTCAGACATCAGTAATCTGCACACATAATTTCGGTAGGAACAAATACTGATTGTAAATTATAAATTAAATTGAAGTTCTCTCTGTTATCTTTAAAGTTTACACTAACCATTCGCGTGCATTTCAGCGTGAGCAAACGATACAAGTGTAAGCGTATTATGTAATGGCACATTTTTGATATTTGGATGTGTCACCATCACTTACGTGTGCATTAAGCTTGTCAAAGATGATTTGCCCCTCTGACAGCCAAAAAAGGTTTAAGCTCACCTTATTCCACGCACAGAGGAAACACCCAAGTAAGTTTCGTTATACTGACTTCCAAACTTGAACAACTGAGACACGCTTTCGATATGCGCGCCAAAGCCAAAGTCAAAAAAGCTGAAGTGAAAATGGCCCTTTTCAGGGTGAGAAGCAGGGGTAACTGTACAGGTTTTGGAGCTCAAATTTACGTGAAGTACCTCGTCCAATGCGTAGTCGTAGATATCCATGTACGTTTGTCCATCTTTTGTTTGTTCAATCCTGCCCTTGTCAGCTTCCTGATCATAGTACTCCTTGAAAAGTGCTGAGTAGTTCTCGTTAACAATGTTCACTTCCACAAGTGTTGAAAAAGCTGTGGGCAGCGTTGGAAGCTTAGGGCTTGCTCCATGGCTGCTATTTGAAGGCTGGCAAATGGGTTGAAGTTTACCTGAAACAGCTCCAAAAGCTGCTATCAGGCAGTACAGAATAGAGACGTACATTGTGATTACAGCTGAGTCGAAAATGAAGTTCACGGCAGGTGCCTCGTGACATAGTATGATTAATCTTGCATGAATGAATGCACTTGGAAACAAAACATTGCTCGTCACATGATGGAGAAGAATAGAAATCACGTTACTGAAGTGAGGGCAATGAAAAAGTTTTGTACACTTTCATCTCCAAAAGATACTTGTCTTGAGTGAAATTCTGCCATTTCCCGACACCTTTCCATTGTCTACAGTAGCCAAAAAGCCTGAATATAAGCAGTATCGTTTCATAAGTAAAGCAAAGGAGAACTCAATTTCAAGAATATTAAACAGCAACTCGTTCCCAGGTTCATCAAGGGAAAACAAGGTTGCATTTCATGGCTTCATACATCACGTGGCTGGTGCTTTGCTCCGTTTTGTGGTCTTGCAAAATATCGATAAACTTTACAAGTTTGGATGCATATTGGTAAGTAGACACTTTCCCACTAGTTTTGGTTGCTATCGACGCTAAAGAAAACAAAAACAACCCCCTACAATCCTGAATTAAGTAAACCCATACCAAAAGCCAACGTAAAGCAATGTCCCCATGATTCAGCTGTTTTTGCCCACACGTAGAGTCGTACGAGTAGTAGTTTCCAGTCGCGTTACTTTCTGGGCAAATTTGAATTCATTTAAGATCTTGTAGAATTCCTGCTTTTTCCTTTGATAGTCAGGCTGAACTGTGGAACAACTGTTGCGTCGAAATCTTATAAAAATATTGATTTTAAAAGAGAAGGGATCACGGGGTTAATCCGCTTTAAATTTGGAAATGTTGACAGTTGACGGGACCTTAGTACTCGAAGAAAACTGTTATAAAAGTTAAGAGACAGCAGAACAGACATTCACAGCCTTGTAAAGTTAGCTTAATTAACTTCATATTTTCATTTCATTTTTACTTCCCAATGCCGGCCCTGTTATGATCATGCAAAAAGGAGAAACAATTGTTAATGTTACTTGGTCGCGAGGGATCATGCTGTTTAAAGAATTCTCAATCCTATAAGGAAAGCAATAGTAGTATGTGTCATTAATTTTCTCATGTGTAATTCTTCTTAACAGATTACCGTAATTTTCATTTTAGTGTGGACACATATTCTAATGGAATTTCCTGTAATTTATTACTATATGTCATAATGGTGGCGAAGTAGAATATTAAAAAAAAAATTAAAAAATACGATGAAAAAACATGTTCTAATAGGGTTGAAACATGCATTTTTTGGCCAGCACATGTTTGACAGCAAATAAGCAAACTGTCATGCCAAAGATTGAAGTTGTTATCAAACAAATAGCCCGAGAAAACAGGCGACATTTTGTAATGCCACCATTGGTTTCTCCGCAAAATGACGTCTGAGAAATGAGCGCAGAAATTCCTTACTGATGACATGTCACTACCCAGATCTGGGTAGTGACGCGTCATCAGTATGGACTTTCTACCATTGTTCAGACGTCATTTCGTGTGGAAACCAGTGGTGGCGCCGTAGAATGTTGGCTGTTTTCTCAGGCTATCAAGCCACCAGAAATCAGGTCAAATGCTTCAAGCCACTAAAACAGAGGCCTACTTTGCACGTGAACATTTGTCTAACCCCCTTAATCCTTCAAAAGCTTGGTGGTAAAACATGTCATATTTGCAACCAATCAGATGTTCATTTTTCGTTTGCATATCCATACTTAGAGTTACTATTTGCATAGTTATGTAAAGCATTTACTTGTACTGGTCTGTCATATCTAGCAATCAGATCCACAGTCGATCTACTACTCAGGGTTATTATTTTACTGTTTTTAACAGATCCATGAAGAGCCAGGCACAATTGTTTTAACTATGACAGACAAAGGTAAAAGTCATTTGTTTGAGTACTGTTACACATGATAAATACCATATTTCCTTGAATAATAGCCTTTCCTCGATTAATTGTCTCCCTCAAATTATCATCCCCCTAAGGCTCTTGATGGGAATATTTAAAATAATCGCCTCCTTTGAATAATGGCCCCCTTCTACCCTTCTTGTTATTTTCTCTTTCTTTTATCCCCTCCCTGTCAAGTTTAAGTGCAATGTGATCCAGCAAAACTGATCAGTGATGATTCAAGCTCTGAAAATCAAGGGACTAAATTTGGAACACTTAAAACACCTATGTTCAGTTTATTTGATGTAATTATTTTTTGATGGGAAAATAATACAAAATATTTAGGGCGCGAATTCCAGTTTTAGCAATATATTTGAAAAAACTGCCTCCCTTTCACCTTCCCTTGAATAATTGCCCCCTTCTTTTGCAAAAATAGAAATAATCATCCCCAGCTATTATTCAAGGAAATACGGTATGTTGAAGTTTGTAAGATTTTTTGCGCCTAATTCCTTACTAGTCAATTTGAAGTTATAGTGACCCATGCCATGTTAAAATGTATGCCTGCATGTTTATCTAGTTACCCAAGTCATTAATATATTAAATAAAATTGATGCTTTATCCATTACTAATTAGTGGATTAGTTAAGAACATGGCGCTCAAAAACAAATTCATTCAAAGTAAAATATGAAAACGTATCTTGAATCTCTTCCACCTTAGCCTTTACATCATCTTATGCCTCACTTGATGTTAAAACAGTTATAGCCTGCTGTTACTGTTCTCCCCACCACTTCTCTTTTTCTGCTTATCTTTTGTTAACGTTTTTTGTATAATTTCTACTATTGAATGGCAAATAAATAAAATAAAATAAATAAATAGATAAATAAAGGCAAGAAGGTACGCAACTGAGCTTAAGAATGACGCAAAGTTTCAGACTACAGTATCTGCAGTTGATTCAAAGTCCCCTTGTGGTATGTTTAGCTCATGAAAAGTTTGCTGTCTGAACTGGGTACTTATCTTGTGTATTACTTGTGGCTTATAGTGCACTTATGTACATTTGTATGTACTTACATGTATAATGCATACATGTACATGTGTATGGACTGTATAGTTAATGCAGGCACCATAGATTAACTGCATGATGCTATTTACAGAATGATAAAAACCCACAATAAAACATTTGTGTACCTTCTTCTAACATGGATGAAACATTTCAAATGGTACTGAATTATCAGATGTTAGGTAACATCATATTCAGTGTAATGTTCTTGCTTAATTCTCTGTCAAGTCCAAAATACAAAATAGTCCCTTTCCCAGTTTTACAGTGTAGCAGTAAAAAGTTATTCTTCTTTTATTTTTTTATAATCCAAATTGCTGCTTTCTGCTATTATCTAAGTTAGTAGCATTTATATTTATATTATGACCTTATTACAAAATGATATGTGTTGATTTTTAAAATTATAGGTGTATTTCTTTCATTGGCCCAAAAGGCCAAAAATGGTTTTTTTGGTTTGTATGTTTAAAATTTTCAGAGGTACTTCTCTGCAGGGAGGCCTGACTTTCAGAAGGATTAAAGAAACCAGTAAATTCTCTCAGGGGGATATCTTATTTAATTTGACAAGTTTAATAATATTATTTTACTGCATTAAGGGGGCAGCATTTATGGACTAGTGGTTAAAGCGCTGGACTTGTAGTTGTAAATTCAGAGGCCGCGAGCTCTAGTTCTGTCCTGACTGCTAGCTGGATTTGTTCTCGGTGGTCCTGGGATCCTTGATCATACTTGCAAATAGCCAGCTGATTTCCTTCAGCCAGTTGGGACTCTTAACCCTGTTAAGTTTAATTTGAATTATTTGTTTCTGACATTTGGTCAGTTCCCCTAGCATTAGTGCTATAAATACTTCCAAGCGTAAACAAAGGATATTACAATTAATAATAGTAATTATTATTGTCATTGATATTACAGGTTCTGAGTCTGAACAAGTGCCTGCAGCTGCAAATGCAGTGGATAGTAGTCCACCTCCCTATCCATCAGAGCTCCCACCTCCTTATATACAGCAGCCTGGTTACCAAGCACCACCCAGTTATGAAGTTCCACCAGGTTACCAAGGACCCCCTGCCTATCAAACTTTACCTGGTTACCCAGCTGGGCAAGTGTATCAAGGTGTTCCTGTTGGTTATGTGGTTGCCACCGTAAGTTTTGAGTTTGTTGACCTGCAAATACCTGTAGTTGACTAATAAAAACTGGACACGCAGGTCCTTGTTTTAATTTAAGTATTTGAAATTTCATACAGTGTAAGAAACAGTTACTCTCCCCTCAAGTGACAGAGATCTTTTCATTCAGAGGGACACCAAACACCTGGAATTCATGGAAAGCTCCTTGAAACTTCTGTTAAATTCCACCATCTTGATTAAAACTGATGGGATTTTTTCTGTCAGCTATTATCTCTCTGGAGGGGGGGCTACTCAAGGGAAGTTTGGGCAGAGGTGCAGTGCCGCTGATCAGGTCTTCAAACCCCGACCCTGTTAAGACAAAAATTGTTCATTATGCTATGCTGTTTAAGACAAGAGACCTCATTAATTTTTAGGACCCTGTTCCATTTTATTTTAGACTGCTTTTTGCCAACCTTCACACTCTTTTAAAGAATTCTGTTCCAAGGACACCTTGTTCAAGATGCTAAAGAGTGAAATTGTATACCCTATTTAAGATTCAAGACCCTGAAAACCATACCCTGTTCAGCATCACATACCCGTAAAGGCCAATAAGGGAGTGCCCCTCCCCGGCGGGCTATGTACTCTTTCTATACAAACAGTTGTAGAGAGCAATGTTTATTCACATATCTAAGTTCACACCTATAAAGCTACTTTAACATTATTTTGCAAACTTCACCCCTGGTTATACTTGATGTTCACAGCAACCAAGTTCTTATGTGGTTCAACCTACATCCGTGCAGGATATTCCCCCTGACTATCAAGGCCTTTCTTGGTTTTCCTGTCTGTGTTGTTGTTGGCCTCTTGGAATTGTAGCCATACTAAAGTCAAATGAGGTAAGGCTTTAAATAACTTGTTGGCTTAACATATCTTAGGTCTATTTTTCAGGGTTCATACACATCTTGAAATTCCAGTGGTCTGATTTTATGGCCTTGAAATTGGTTTTTGGTTCTCGGAAGTCCTTGCTATCGAAGAACATCTACATTATCAACACTTTAAAAATGAACTACAGTAGGTTTTAATGTAGAGAGTGGAAATGCAGACAGAATTAATTTTTACAAAATATGTGTAACATGCACACTTATACAGTCACTGAGTTAGAGGTGTAACTTATCAACTTTTTTCATCCATTCTGAATTTCACTTATAAAAGGTGAGCCATACATCAATGGCCTTAATGTGTGTTCATAATTCACTCTCAGTTCTCATTAATTCTCCTAAAATATCTACAAAATTTCAAAGAACAGTCCTTGAGTTTTTGGCTTGAAAAAGTCTATGAACCCTGAACTTAAAAACTTTGGATAAGTAATTGCAGAAACTCAAACCCCTTATGAGTTTCTGGTTTCTGGTAATTGTTATATAGCTGGAAATTTTTTCCCAACAGTGCGTGCTCTTATTGGTTACTTCAAGGTCACATGACATCAAACAATGAAACTGTTTCCCACCAAAATCTCTGAGCGGCAACATTACAAAGACTATAACGTCAGAGGGTAACAGTGCACTGTCACCTGCCAATGTTGACTAACGACCACCATTGCAGGGAGGTTTAATGAATTTACAGCTTCAAAATTTCCAGCTACATAACAAATCAAAGAATTAGCAGGAGAATTGGAGCCAATCAGAAAATTAATGGCAAAGTAGTTTGAATTATGAATAATAATTTGTTCCACCTCAGGAACCATTAAGATTCTGGGGAAACAAAATTAACTGTTTCCTTCCCTCAGGACCAGTCTTTAAGTGTTTATTATTACATATTGACAGTCTTGTCTCAGTATAGAAAATAATGAGTGGTTAAGAGCATAGTGGATGAAGTCATTGGATTTCATGACCACTGTGAGAAAGTGATTGTATTAATATTGATGTCAAACAATACTTTATTGAGAATTTCCCTTCCAATCAGAGTCTGGTTTTTAGTCCTTTTCTACTAGCCTGGGGAGGGGACCAGGGGTCCATTTCTCCAATAACTTTCGGGCCCGAAATCACATATTCAAATCAAAATAAAAAGAATAAGAGCATGGATCCTGGCTAGCAAATTACTCCATTTTGTTTCATTAACCAATAGTTTTGTCATGTTAGATGCAAAACTATTGAAACCTCTATCTTGCATGTAAACAACAAGAGCTTTACGGGCCCGTTAATTATCGGGACTTCGAGAAACGGGCCCCAGGCTCCTTATTAGGAATATATGGGGAACAATGGGGCTACCGCAAAGAAAACTAGGTTAAACAAGAAGGGGATTGAGGAGGGAAGGGGGTTCTCACTGCCCTTCCCCCCCTCTCTCAGTCCCTTGCTTGGTTTACCCCGATTTAATATTTCCTTTTTATTCAATCAAAGAGGCTGGTCCCATGCTACTTTTCTTTCTGCAGTGTAAACAAAGAAATAAAATTGGGATGATAAAGGATTAAAAGAATTTTTTTTCTTTAATTATTTTCAGGTTAAGAGCTCCCTTTCCCGTGGAGATTTTCAATCTGCTAGAATCGCTTCCAATTCTGCACGGAATTTTGCTTACGCTGCCATTGGAATTGGAGTTGGTTTTTTAGTAATGTATATCATTGCTATGGTACTTGTATTTACAATCGTTGCTAGTAGCAATTAAACTTATCTATGTATACCAACATACAATATTTTATAAATATTGTTTTAGGACAAATAATAGAACAGAAACCTAGAACTCTAATTTCAGGTTAGTTAATTCTTGTAGTCGGATTTACTATGTACAGCAGACCTTTTGTTATTTATAAGAGGGCGAAATTGGCGAGAAAATTGGGAGAGGTGAAATTTTCGCCATTGGAAAAAGAGGGGCGGCGGGGGGGGGGGGGACGGGGGTTGGTGTGGAGGGGATCGTAAACAGGTGGTATATTTAAAAGAGGCAAAAACATAACTACAACGGACCAACAAGAGCAGGGGACCTCAGATTTTATGGCTAAGATTCTTTGGGTTTCGCTATGATTCTTGTAAGAGTATGACCTTGCACAGTATTACTGGATTGCATTTCTAAAAAGCAATGGTGGACTGATCCTAGTACATGAATCACATTCCAGTTCTAAAACAGCAATGTTATCTTTTCCTCGTTATACTGATAACAATTTGCCTTGTATTTAATTTCGTTAAAAATATTTCTTAACTTCCAAGTCCTACTTTTCCGTCCATATCCTTAAACAAGGTGTGAATGTGGGAGTTTGTTAGCCTGTTCCCAGACCCTCTCTTTTCTCTTCGAAGCCCGTCGAGCGCGCGTAATAAAAAAACAAAACCCGTAGGGTATTTATTGACCGCCGGCGCAAGGGAAAAGAAAGATAAAACAACGTCTGTGTACAGGCTATGAGTTTGTGTGCTTGTGAATTACTATAAGTTGCCATGCAGCACGTACCTCCGCTGTTAATACTTTTTTTAAATTATTATATTTAATTCCAGCTTCCTGGCATTTTTAGCTTATTAATCTATTTCAGAAAATAATTAACTTTATTCTTTAAAAACATTATTTATTGTCTGTTATGGGAGGGTACAATGAATAAAGTTGGAAGAAATTTGAATTCAGTAACGAAAATTTTTTGCCTTCCCGTACGCAGATGTTGCCTCGAAAACAATTGCTTCCCCTGTTTATATCTTAGTCTAACCTCAGCTTATTATGTTTGTTCATCTTATGTATATTTCTTTAGATGTTGTTTTCATTAGCGAATGATTTAAAAGAGGTCCCGGGAGAGGTGTAGCCGCTTGGAAAGGCTTTCCAATGTAAAAATACAGTTATTATAACGGCTTTTCCATGTTTCCAACCTTAATTGTGGTGTCAAGTGCATCGGTGGAGATCATTACTAGTACTTGGAAATTATCAATTTTTGCGAAAAGATAGGCAGCGCTTATAAATTTTTATTTACATTAAGATCATGTGATATTACACTAGAGAATTTGTTCTTTAATATATGCACACATTTAATATTCCCTTGCGTTTAAATGAACAATTACAAGAAAGACTAAGGCTAAAAAGGTGTCAAAAAAATAATTATTACCCGCGAGATAGACAAACAAACCGAAGAAAACCCATTTTAGTTAGCAGTTTTTGAAAGTCATGACAGAGGAGAAAAACATGTTCAATTACAGCCCGGCCCGACTTTTTTAGACGCAAACCGTAAGTACCATCTTAAGTTCAAGTTCGATGTTTGTTTTAAAATAGTCAGGAATAGCTTAGCGCGCCTGGAGGTGTGCATGTATAATAAACAAGTTAAAACTAGTGGCTATGTTGCGGTTAAAAACGACGTTTCGGTGTGATCATGAAGCCATAAGGTAACTAGGAGAAGAAACTAAATGCGAGAGACTTGCGTCGTTTACTAAGTTAACTTAATTAATGAATGAAATAAAAAAATACTTTTTCATATTGAGTTCAACTGCATTTTCAGACAACATCTAATTGTCTTAAATATGTACAACATGTGCACTAAACAAGCAAATTTGTTAACTCATTTACTTAAAAGCAGCCTCAGTAGGTCAAAGGGGACAAATGTTACACGCGTTCAGTCCTCCACGCGTTGGAACACCTGTTCTCAAGTGTATCCTTAACGACCCTTGGCATTGTTGGCTAACGGTTTGTGGTTTCTGTGGTTTTATGTGCCGTTAGCCCTTGATATTATAATTTGCAGCTCACAATAAACACAGGCCTAATTTCACGTCTTTTAGTACCTCTCATACATTAACTCTTTCTTTCAGGGTCGCGCTAAAATTGTCGCTATTTTCTTTTTTTCTTGCGCACTGAATTCTTATCATTCACCAAGCGAAACGAAAATAGAGCCTGAGCACAGGTTATAGTTGTATGCACTTTCAAGCTAAGATGTTCCCCGCTCGCAGCAGCCTCTTTGGCATCTGGTAGCAGGGAAGCTAAGCTATTCGAACTGTTTTGAAACGAGATTTGTTCAACCGTGATTTTGAAATGGCAATGAAAACAAGAACAATCTCAACCAAGAACGAGTTGCATCAAGTTTTCATTGTGACCCGTGTACCGGGGAAGAGAGGGGGGGCAAAGGCGGGGAGCTACTCGGCAAAGTTTTATACGGAGAGGCTCGGCCCGGAGGTCCAAACCCTTACCCTTTTGGTGGCCATTTTTGACAGAGAAGGTACCCTGTTCGTATACCTTTCCTGTTGAAGGTATACGAAAACAGGAAGTCTTCTAGTCATTTTTTCATGTATGGTTCAATAAATTAAAAAATATATACCCATAAGGCGTGTCTTTTCGAAACATTTTCATTAAAGGATCTTTTAATTACTTAAATGATGGAATTTCCTACCATTTCATATACTTCAACTGTCTAATTTCCCTCACTCAGGAGCCCATGGGCTCCTGCCTCACTTTAATATACTTGAAGCCTGAAAAAGATACCCCTTTCTGACGGAGACTCCCCCTTAGGCCAATATAGGGTGTACCCCCGAGCCCGTGTGGTGCACATTATGATTCAACAAGAGAGAATTCTCTCTTGGATTCAGTCAATGGCTAGAGTACCCAGCCCCCCTTACCCCATGGCATTTTTTGGATAATTGTGAGGTTCCAGTGGATGGTTCACTAAAGGTATGTTACATGATCGCTTATACTTTTATCATCTACGGCATTGATTTTGAATTGTTAGCTCCCACAAGGAAACTTACTCGTTGCCTTAATCCCAGTAGGAAGGGGTATTTGCACACATTTTAATACCCATGAGGGGTTTACCTGTTAGTCCCATGACAGGGAATTTGTATCTTTCCGAAGAAAGCAATTAAAATATCCCTGGCCAAGCCCGAGGAGACTATGGGCGCCCTTGGAATCAGTGAGAAAAAAGCGCGGAAACTTACACGAACGTGCGGAGGCACCGACTTCATGCTAACTATTCCTAGCAAAGGTGCGCGGAGGGGCGATCATGCACGCTTTGTCGACAGGACACCCAAGCACTTTATATCATCCCAATCGACACAGATATTTCAGTACCGGCTAAGACCTTGTGAATGTTTACATTTAGATATTGTTTTCCTAGGTTCTATTGCCTTGACGTCTTTGTTTTCTTTATTTTACGTCACCCGCGAAGACAGACAAGAGACTGAAGAGACTGCGCTCTTCAAACCCTAATGTTTTCGCATTCTAAGTAAATGCAGAACAAACATACTTGTTTGGTGCGCAAGATATTGTCAAGAGGTCCTTTTATTCTCTCTTGATATTGTACTTAAGACAAGTAAGAACTTGTCGAAACGTGTAGTTGGACTCAGCGGTCACTACGAGCAAATACGTTTTTTATTCTTTCGATCCCAGCATTATAATGTTGATTAACGGAACCACACTATGGTATGATAAGTTTCTTTTCAGGGGCGGGGGTGGGGGGCGGGGGGGCGGCACCCAATGACTGTTTTCTGCAAATATCTGCTCGGAGGAGTAAAAATTGCCTAGAATTTTCTGTAACTTGAGGAAGGTAAACAATTTCTTGACGACTGTTCTATTCCTGTACGATTTTCGAAGCTTATCTAATAAATTCCAAGATTTTCTGAAGTATAATTTTTCGTATTTCACTCCCCAGGTTAAGCTATTTTCCGAAGAAAGAGAAAAGTTAAAATTTTCGGATTGGAAAATGCGATCGAGCGAGGAAATCAGATCGAAAAATTCTTTAAGCAACATGTAAAATTTTCGAGAAAGCAATACTAAAGCCCGGGGGGGAGTGTACTGCCATATACGGGCTGTATAGGTACGTGCCGCTGTGAAGGGTATGGTTTTCAAGCAGTTTACTCTAGGATAGGGTATATAAATCAGAGCGTTTGGGTCTTGAATGGGGTATCATTTTTCAGGAAACTGATCAGTTGGTTGAAGATTTTATCTAGACCAGGGAAAAAGCTACGACTTGGGGAATTTACTCTTGTATAGGGTAGCAAAATTCAGCTGAACTATCTCTGGTATAGGTTAAGGGCTGGTTAAGGGTTCCAGGATCCCAGTGGCACATCCCCACCCACAAATTCCTAAAGTAACCCCCCCCCCCGGGTACTAAAGCCCTTGTGATTTAGAAAAGACTCAAGTTGCCCTAGTATGACCTAGTTGAGAACGCATTTTTAGCGATCTAAGAGTACTCTGGGTAACTTACAAAGTCTTTTAAATTCATTCCATGTTGCCGGGCATTCCTCGATATTCGCTTCAAGATCAGAAACCGAATCACTAGGTCTTGCCTGTTTATGCTTCACAAAACCGTTATTCATGATCAATTGATAACATTTCCTACATAAGGGAATTTAGTGGTTTAAAATGAGGACTATGAAATCATTTGAAGGTCAAGTGCAAAATAACCGGATGTGGCCCTTACAAACTGCTTATTAAAGCAACATTTTTCGAGTCACTCGCTCTAATCTGACGACCTATATTGTTTCTACCACTTCCTTTCACTTCCTATAAATCTAATGAATCGTAACTAATGGACTAATGGTGCTGAAAATACAGACGTGCACTTTTATGTTATATTTTACCTAAAACTAATTACATAATTAAATAATAATTAAAACCCAATAGAAGAACCCAACATATGACAGTCATTTGTTCCTGGTCTAGGATCTTTGTTCTGTCACCTTTGTTATGTGAACCAGCACGCTCGTAGGCGCTCTGTTATGCGAAAGAATGCGCGTTAGTTTCTCGCCCTTCGTGGCAGTATTGGTCCTCCCTCCGAGCCGCTCCGAGTAAACTTGTTCCGCCGTTGCCTGCAGCCTTTTGTCGAAAGAAAGAGCATTAAATATTTATGGCTTCTCACAATGTCAGTTACAATGTGTAGTTTCCTTTATTAGCGTCAAAATCTGATAGAGTATAAAATTGGCCGCTTTTCGTAGTTCGTACGTTTAGAAAATCCCATTAACCCCCGCGCGCGTCTTGTCGGATTCCTCGCGCGTTTCCCCAATTTAGATGTTGTATTTCACTGTAAACGGAAATGTAAAAGATAATGATTGACATAGTAAACGGATGGTGTAAATTTCCACCGTTGGCAAAAGCTAAAATGTTAATTTTCAGCTCCAACTGAACAGCCAATATGCAGAATTTCAAAACTGAAATTTGAAGAACGAGCAATTAACTATTATTGGACAGCATCGTATTTCATTTTTTGCGGCGACGACACAACGCTGATCGAGAACTACAAACCTCGTGCTTGAGAACGTCGTTTTGTTTATTTCTTCCTGAGTTCACGGGTCAAAACACAACTATAACGTGTGAAGGTGAGTTGATAAAGTTATTTGAAGTCAGTAAGAGTATAAAATATATTTACATACTGACAGAGACAATTATTTAAGCCTCTTTTGTTCATTGACTACGCGCGGCTCTTCGAAAATTCCTTGAAGACTGAAAACCTCGTGGAACGTCTTGTCACGGAACATTTTGGGTTTTTTGTCATTGTAAAAGCACCGTATGTTTGGGTGATTCTGTACAATTTATAGAAATAAACCACTGAAAGTCGGTTTGTCGCTGTATTCGTCGCTGATGGGAACAGATGTCTGAGATGTGATTACTGTGTACAAATCATTCAGTGGCTATAAATAAATTCTTTTTCTGTGGATTTCTTATAAGGTTTGGTGTATTCGTTTCCAATGAAAACTATCTACCATTTAAATGAACTCGATCTGCTTATGTCTGCAGCTTGTGGGTTATTCCAGTTATTCCACTAGTTTTGCGCCGCGAGACATTTTAAATCGGCGTTAAAGTTTTATTGAATAGTGCTAGAAAAATGTGTTTTTACAAATTATCATCAGATCAGATCGAAACGTCGCGAATTTTTTGACCAGATACAATAGCAGTATCTTATTCCATTATTCAAAGTATTCGAACAAAGAACTCGCTTTATGTTCGTACGGGAAAAAACTGAACACAAGGGCACTTAATTCTTTTCATTTTTACTTAAGCCAATTGAAGAATAATTGTTTTTGTTTAGAAAAAACAAGTCACTATTTACGTGTATAATTTGAAATGTTCAGTGACCCTTTTATTACACGCTGTCTCTCCAGCGGTGAATGATATGTTACCACATTTCAAAGCTTCCGGGCATTTTTTACGGATGAAAATATTCGCTGGTTTTTAAAACCCCGTGTCCTTACTTCTGGTTGGAAGTACTAGAGATGAACTGTCATCCACTTTTATATTTCTAAGTCCAGTGCTTGTGAATCCCATTTTTATGACAGTCTCCGTTTTGACTTTAATTTTGATGTTTTTACCCAAATTATATTTCCATAGACGGATCGATCGGATCACTTTTTGTTGGTGTCGATTAATTGGGTTAATTACGTTCGCGTTTAATCAACGGGAATGAACATGAGAAATTAAACCTTATTTTTTGTAACGTACCAATAATCCATCGCTAGCCTGCGAACACAGCCGTCATCTCCTCGCTCTTCCTGACAAGGGACCTTGTGGCCAGAAGCTAGTAGAGATGGCTGTTTTCGCAGGCTAATTCCATGGGTAGTTAATCTATGGCACAAACTCTTGATCAGGCTCCATTATTTACCAGCCGCTGTTCGGGAAATGACGTGTCCTTTCTCTCGTAAAATACCCCACTAATTTACCTTTAGTTAATAAATGTTACTCGTTTTATCTTTTCTCGCCGATTACCTATATATTTCCGTCACGCAACACCATCACGCAAGTAACTGGTTAGAGATACGTTCAAGTTCACTCAGACAATGCTCTCGCAGGGTAAGGTGTACTCCCCTCAATAACTTATTGCGGAAGGCTCTGCCCGACGCCCATCTTGCATAAAAGTTAAAATTGTAAAAAACAGTTCTTTGATGTAATAATGCCTTCTTATGAAGGGATTTTGAGAACTGTTTAGGTGTATTAAATGAAGATGATCAGTAACAAAGAACACAAGAATTGATCAAAACACATGTAAAAAGTTTTAAAACAAGTTTCTTGTTTGTTTGTATCATCTAGGCCTTTAAGAGAGCCGTTAAAGTTAAAACCCCTTGCCCAAAACGTTTAAATTTCGAACATACACGTACACCAAAAACACCAGATGCTTTCAAGTTTTCTGGTCTGGCCCTCTTACGTCCATGGAAAAAAAGTACAAAAGTTTGATAACTCTGAAGTTTCAGAATTGTTGAGATGGACCGTTTGGTCAATTTTACCAGGAAAGGACCCACAAATTTCGGTGAGTGGAAAGCTGTCCAAGAACAGTTGCGAGAGACAGGAGGAAATGTGTTTGTTTAGTACTCTCGTGTTTACACTCAGCTTGATTGTGCCGAATGTAATACTGTTAAACATCTGTTGATCAACAAATGTTGTTACTAGTTGATTGCGTGTTATGGGAAGTTTCTCTGTCTCTACAACACAAAATCGAAGGGGTACAGAAATGTACGCACAAAAAAGGAAAAGAAAAATTGCTGAGATAGTAGGGAGGACGACAAGTGAAGTAACGTGACGATAAATTGCTTTTAACTTGGAATGAGTAAAGTCTAAATAATGCGTTTTTATTCTTTCTTTGGCGAGTTTTCAGGATTTCTGCAACAACACTCGCAGCGCACAATTTGCCTTTTGGTCAGCCACCATTCTCACATTTCCCGCAAAACATGAAAAGAATTCAAGAAAACGCGACATTGTCATTGAACAAACGGCAACATCGTGCAACATTCGATCGTTGACGTTGAACGGTGTGTCACCACCTTTTCAAGATGACCACTCGTTGGCCCTCAAGTACACCCTATGAGAGTTAATATAACATTACCCTACAGAGTTATGTAATCAGAACTTGAAGAAGACCGTTTTCGTAATCGCAGGACAATCGCTGCGTCGCAACCGAATGGAGAATGATCGAGTTCTGCAGTTGTCTTCCCTATTTAAAAAATGGTAGATGATAAAGAGATACGATGAGCTACTGTCATTATTGGCAGTAATTGAGAGTACTTCGGAGCACTCAATTGTAAAAAAACCGTCAGTGCTAATGACCTTGTTTTCTCTTGAATTGTAGGGGGAAAGTTGTGAGAGAACTGACAATGGAAGACGCATCTGTAACCGTGAATGGTCATGGCAAAAGTAATGTTACACTGCCAGACACCGCCCAACAACAGCACGTCTTTACAACAAAAGTATTTATTCAAATGGCTGAAAAGGATGTAGAAAACGACGAGCCTTTTCTTATGGACGCGACATCTATTGTGCAAAAAGATGTAGTGAATGGAAAGGAGATAGGTGAAGAAAGTGTCAACAAGTCTTGGAAATTGATCTCAGAAGACGAAGTTGTGGTTGTAAGCAAGACATCCACTGCTTTTCATTCCGAATTGTTACTGGAACAAGAAGGTCCAGGAGGAGAAACTAAAGAAACGGATGGTTCTACGGTAGAGTCGTTGCTTCTCAACATTGAAACCGTAATAGACGACGGATTGCTTAATGGTACTCACGAACCAGAAAATGACAAGAGAGAAGTGCTTGACGAAGATGCGCCGGTGGTCATAGAAAAGAGTCCTGTCTCACCGAACATGGAAATTGCAATCGAGGGCGAAGATCCGAGCGATGTAGACTTGAAGAATGCTCGGGAGAATGATGAGATTGGTGAAGAGGTCACAGAAGATGACGTTGCGGTGGTGGAAAAGACACCAGTAGCAAGGTCACTTGAATCTGACATTTTAGTTGAAAATCCTGATGCCGGAGGAAAAGAAGATGACACTACTACAGTGGATTCGCTGCTTGAAAACATTGAATCTGTTATAGATCAGTCACCGCTGGAACGACCTCAAGAACCAGCAAATAAAAACACAGCTGAAGTCATTGAAGAACTGGCTCCTGTTGTGGAGAAGAAGTCTTTCTCACTTGATGTAGAACATTTGATGAAGGAAACAGATGAAGGCTCGGAGGATGGTGAACACGTGACTAAGCAAAGGCAGTCATTTGTGGAAGATGAAGTTATAATGGTTAAGAAGACAGTAGTGGTCTGTAAAGTTGAGTCTGAAATTTTAGTGGAAAATCCAGACGATGAAGGGAAGCATGCTGACAATACCACAGTCCAGTCCTTACTTAACAACATTGAATCTGTTATTGACGACGAACTACCAGAGCGTCCTCAGGAATTAGAAGATACAAAGAAATCCGACGCTCTTGAGGAAGATTACCCTGTAGTCGTAAAAAAGAAACCGATTTCAGTTAATGTGGAACAGGCAATTGATTTTGACGTTAAGGAGGACGAACAAGACATTGATCCAGTTGTGGAAACTGAGGTTGTGGTGGTAGAGAAGGAGACACGAGCAATTCTTGAGTCAGAGCTTTTAGTTGATAATGAAGAAGCTAAAAAGGGCGATTCTACCACGGTAGAGGACTTACTAGTGACCGTCGAAAAAGTTATAGATGTTGAGCCTTCTAAGCGAACCCATGAATCGTTACAGGAAAAGGGTAAACCCCTTGCAGAAGATTCACCTATAGTGATAGATAAGAGACCGGCTTCATTCGACATGGATCAGATGATGGAACAAGATGAGGAGACAAAAGAGCAAGAGAAAAAAGACCCGGTTTGTGAAACTGCACCTATCGTTGTTGAGAAGACAGCAGTTACAGTTGAATCAGAGATGTTGGTTGACAATGAAGAAATCGAAGATGACGATTCTACTCCTGTGGAGACCCTGCTAGTAAACATTGAATCTGTTGTAGATCGCACTCTTTTGGAGACTGCTAAAGAACCATCTGAAGATGTTGTTGAAGCCCTTGAAGAAGATTCGCCTGTGGTAATAGAGAAAAGACCTGCATCATTCTACATTGAGCATCCGCTTGATGAAGACCACGAGAAGAAAGATGTGGATGAGAGAGAACCTGTCTCTGAAGCTGAGCTTGTTGTTGTTGAGAAAACACCAGTAGCACTTGAGTCAGATATGTTGGTCGACAATGAGCAAAGTGAAGAAGACGATTCTACTCCTGTGGAGATCCTGCTTGTAAACATTGAATCTGTAGTGGATCACACTCTTTTGAAAGCTGCTAAAGAACCATCTGAAGATGTGGTTGAAGCCCTTGAAGAAGATTCGCCTGTCGTAATAGAGAAAAGACCTGCATCAGTCTGCATTGAGCATCCACTTGACGAAAATCACGAGAAGAAAGATGAAGATGAACGAGAACCTGTCTCTGAAATTGAAGTTGTCGTCGTTGAGAAAACACCAGTGGCACTTGAGTCAGATATGTTGGTCGACAATGAGGAAAGTAAGGAAGAAGATTCTACTCCTGTGGAGACCCTGCTAGTCAATATTGAATCTGTAGTGGATCACACTCTTTTGAAAGATGCTAAAGAACCATCTGAAGATGTGGTTGAAGCCCTTGAAGAAGATTCGCCTGTCGTAATAGAGAAGAGACCTGCATCATTCTACATTGAGCATCCGCTTGACGAAAATCACGAGAAGAAAGATGAAGATGAACGAGAACCTGTCCCTGAAATTGAGGTTGTCGTCGTTGAGAAACCACCAGTGGCACTTGAGTCAGAGGTGTTGGTCGAAAATGAAGAAACCAAAGAAGACTATTCCACCCCTGTAGAGACCTTACTTGTAAACATTGAATCTGTTGTAGATCACACTCTTTTGGAAGCTGTTAAAATACCATCTGAAGTTTTTGTTGAGGCCATTGAAGAAGATTCGCCTGTGGTAATAGAGAAAAGACCTGCATCATTGCACATTGAGCATCCGCTTGACGAAGATCTCGAGAAGAAAGATGTAGATGAAAGAGAACCTGTCTCTGAAGCTGAGTTTGTCGTTGTTGAAAAAACACCAGTTGCTCTCGAGTCAGATATGTTGGTCGAAAATGAAGAAACCAAAGAAGACGATTCCACCCCTGTAGAGACCTTACTTGTAAACATTGAATCTGTTGTAGATCACACTCTTTTGGAAGCTGTTGAAATACCATCTGAAGATGTTGCTGAGGCCATTGAAGAAGATTCGCCTGTGGTAATAGAGAAAAGACCTGCATCATTCTGCATTGAGCATCCGCTTGACGAAGATCTCGAGAAGAAAGATGTAGATGAAAGAGAACCTGTCTCTGAAACTGAGCTTGTCGTTGTTGAAAAAACACCAGTTGCACTCGAGTCAGATATATTGGTCGACAGTGAAGAAACCAAAGAAAAAGATTCTGCCTCGGTTGAAACTTTGCTTGAGAACATTAAATCTGTAATAGATAATACAACTCCAGATCAAACTGAGGAACCTGCAAGTGCCATCAAACCCGATGTTCTTGAAGAGGATGCACCCATAGTGATAGAGAAAAGGCCTATTTTACTTCACATGGAAGAGATGCCTGACGAAATGAATGGTGAAGGTGACCCGGAGGCTCCAGTCACAGAAAGTGAGCTTGTTGTGGTGAAAAAGACGCCAGTGATAGTGGAGTCAGGAATTTTAGTTGAAAAGGAAGGCACCGAAGGAGTGGAAGATGATAACGCTACTGTTGAATCATTACTTGTAAATGTTGAGTCCGTAATCGATCACCAGTTACCAAAAGAAGGCCGTGAACGTGCAGATGAGATGAAAACCAGGGCGCTACAAGGAGATGAACCAGTTGTGATCGAAAGAAGTCCCGTTTCACTTCACGTAAATCAACTTCTTGATGAAGAGGACAACCAAAAAGAACACGATAACAGCGAGACTGTAGAAGGTGAACACGAACTTCCCAAATCGAGGGAACTGGTCTCGGAAGCTAAATTGGTGGTAATAAATAAAACACCAGCATCGCTTGAAAGTGAGATATTAATTGAAGTGGAAAGTCCGGAAAATGACCACGCTACAGTGGAGTCCCTACTCGTGAACATTGAATCTGTAATCGACGACACATCCCCAGAACAACCAAAAGTAGAAGATGATACGCAGCCATCAGAGTCAAAAGAGCCAATTGAGGAAACTGTACCTCGTGCAGTCGAAAAAAGAAAGAGGGATTCGTCTGAAATGGAGGAGCTGTTTGTTGCGCAAAATCCAGAGGAGTCTACAGAGAAAGAAGGTCGCTCACAAGATGAATCTTCAAATCTTGTAGATGAAGTTGTCATAAATGTTGTTGAAAAGAAACGCGTTTGTCACGAGCAGCCCAGCGAGACCCTAGAAAATCAATCTTCTGTTTCAGCGGAGTCAACGTCTGTTATAGTTTTAGACATCCCTCTTGTAGAGAAAACGGAGGTTGTTAAGGACAGTGTTCAAGAGACTGTTCCTCCCGCCATGGAGAGAAAGGCCGCTGAGTCCGAAGAGGAACTACTTCAGAGAACTGACGAAGACGAGCCAACAGAGCCGGAATGCCGTGAAACGGCAATTTTAGACGACCTTGAAGGAGAAACGTTGAAGTCAACTTCGTACACAAAACTTTTCGATAAAGACGAAGGCAGCGACGACGAGTTTTTACGTCAAGTTCTCAGCAGGAAGAGACTGTCGGCACCGGAAATACTTCCCGAGAAAGAGAAGGATGGTTCCGCGCCCTTGGCACCATCAGAGAGTGGAATACTTGACTCTAAGGAACATGTTCCCACTGCTCATCTATCCCATACAAGAGAGGCGATACCCATGAGCACACTAGCAAAGGCAGATAACTCTTCCTCAAATGTGGGAGGCGCCCACGATGAAGAGAAACTTATTCCAGGCGTTCCGCGAGAGGCTGAAAAAGTTAAGGATGCTGAAGGGCAGGCAGCTAAGGGATTGTTAGAGGCTGACGATGAAGATCAAATTGATGGAAAGAGAAATAGATTAGGAAAGAAAGGTCTTGCTTCTCCTCAGTGTAAGTGCTGTTCACTGATGTAGTGCACTCATAAAATAGGCTGCTGCGGAGGCATGTTACAGCTGTTCATGGGAGATGGTAGCATTGTAGTTTGGAAGAAAACTGCAGACATTGCGAGGGGACTCATTAGAAATGGACAGAAAATGTAAGTTGTGACTATTTCAATAATGATGAACGTGAACCCGGGTACGCTGACAATCTATTTTGATGAACAAATCATTGAACCATGCTAGAAATGGAAATTATACATATTTTTGCTGTTGTTTAAAATAATTACTATAGCCCATAAAAGGTCAAACTGACTTTCATGAAGAATTACGTTAAACGCTGGTCTTAGTATTTCGTTGTATCAAAATTGGTAAACGAAAGTGAGAACTGTTTTTTGGGACATTTGGGGTCTTCGATGGCCTCAGACTTCCTATGTTTCAGCCACTGTTTTCTCGCACATGGTGTACATCACCGATAAAACGGAAGAGCGATGGCTTCAGACAAATGCCGTTAAGATCGTTCCTGTGTAACGAACTGTAGATACTGCTTGTAGATAGAGGAAGGGGTGTTGTTTTTTTCATGGAAAATGTATCGTTTTAAATTGAGTTATTATCAAAGGAGGTGGTGAAATTAAATTAAAGGAGTTGTCAGCATCGCATAAAGAAGTAACAAAAACGATTACAAAATTAGGTCAGGCCGCCATCAACTGAAAATGAGTACTACCTCCAATTCAGTCGTCGAGTGCTTTTTCTGTCACGTTAGGGGTAATCCGGGAGCCTGGTCACTGTATTTTTTAACTATTTTCATCAATAACGACATACGACCTTGAAGAAAAAGTTTATTTCTTACTGTGTCACGGCAATGTCACAAGTAAAAGATTGAACGCTGGAAATCACTTTTGGTGCCGACCTGACGAAATATTTTTAAACGTTTAGCTTTGCTGAATTTCATGTATTTTGTACAGTGTTAGTTGCTTATTTTTACATTTCAGTACTTGCTGATGAGTGCAACCGGTAACAAAATATGTTTTTGTTTATTGTTGTTACTATTATTTATGCAGGGTTACATAATTATTGGGTGTTACTTTTATAAAAGTTTTAGATTCATCCAAAGCTGTTTAAAAATGCGCATGTAGCATTATGATGAAAGGAGCCCGTAATCCGGAGCAAACATTTTTGTTGTATTTCTGTGGTGGGTTTTTCAGAGAGTAGGTTGTTTTTAGGTCGGATCTAGTCCATCGCGTATGTTCCCACTAACTATGCAGCTTTAGGTACTTAAATGAAATTTTGACAATTCTTTTTTTTTTCGTTCTTTCCTTTTTTATTTTTTCATATTTCCTACTTCGGGGTGGACACTTACGGAGGGGAGGTCCATTTTTACAGGCAAAAGTATTCTAGAATGCGTCTAAAAATAGATTGGTCCTTGAAAAGAACGTGACATAGTCGAACTTGATAGCTGCTGTTTATGGACTCCTGTTAAAGGGAAATCAAGGCAGTGAGGATATGAGTACCAAACATTTGAAGCTGAAGTCGTGAAAAAGTAAGAGAAATAAACAATTATTTACTGAATTGACAATTGTATCACTTTGATTTCCTGGAGGCAACTGAGATGTTTACCGAGTGAGAACTTGCAGGTGTTGTGTGTGACAACACTTAAAACAAAAAAGTCGGACGCAAACAACAAACTCAATCTAGTAGGCTCTACGTTTGGACTGTTGGCTTCTGTGGACCGTCTGGTCAGCGGGAGAAGGCAGGATTTAGGTTTGCGGCAGCTTAGTGGTTCACAGTGAAGGTGAATATGAGTTTACTGAAGCAGACGAAAAGTAGGAGATCAAAGGCTACCGCCGGTTGTCAAGGTTATGTCTTAAGATAACGCGATTGGTCTTAAATCAGTGAATTGTCCATCAAATATCTTTATAAGGTGCTCAAACAGTTTCAATGTCACCTGCTAAGAACACCATTGGACGGCTGAATGAGAGACTGCTGGGGCCAGTTGTGTAAAAAGTAACGCAAGACCTCTCTCTTTCGCAGCCGAGGCCTCTTTGTATCGAAGAGGGGCTGGGGAGAGGGAAAAAGAAGGCGCGCTGGTTATTGCTATTTTTACTGGGGCGTCTGCTTAGAGACACCTAACTGTCGCCGTCTGGCGTTGAAATAAAGAGTTTTTAACCCAGATGAATAATGTGAGACTAGTAAACGTAAACCCCCGACGTTACGATTTATGCAACTTGCCCCTGACTGTTATTTCGCGTACTCTTCTACATTTTGGTTTTTATGGAACAGCGATTACTATGTTGAAACTGAGATTGACAGTCATACTGTTCAGGATGTAAATGAGAAAAATTGTTACTTGGCAAGTTTCGATGAGGTGCCATTCGAGACGATGTATGATACAGAGACGAACAAAAGGCGGACAGTATGCAGCTGCTTTCGAATTGAGAAAGTTTGGTCAAGAAGAGTCATAATCGCATTGTTTTAAGTTGTAAAGGCTTACACGAAATAGAGCTATTAATGGTCAGCCAATCCAAATGGGTGCGTGGTTTAAACTCACGAAAACCGGGCATTAAAAAGTGATGAGTCGTATTTGGGTCTAATGCCCAATGTTTGCAAGACAGAATGGCTTTTTATTACAGCCAAAATGTTTTTCTTTTTAGAAAGAAGTAAATTACTGTAATAAGACGTTAATCAAAACTTTCCTGCCCTGTTTTACACTTTAATTAAACAAATGGCCACCGTTTCGGTCGATAAATTCGTTATAAGGTGTTTTCTGGTTACAATATTTACACAGGTCCCAATTTTCCTCTTGCGCCTGTAATATCAAATTAAGTATCAATCAGAATTGGACGCGGCCTGCCAAAACAACATGGAAAGTATAATAATGTATATTGATTTATGTCAAGAGCGTATGGCCCCTTTTGTTACGTCAGGTCTGTCGGAAATTCCCAATTTTAAGTGTATTTGTCACTTTTACCCATGATGCGGTATTTTCCAATGTGTAATTTAATCTGCACAAAAAAGGGCAAAGACAAAACAATAGGACTTCATATTCATTCTACTATGAAAAGACGAGAAAATACAACGCGTCCAGCATAGAAAAAGAGCGCGAAGACTGGTTTTGTTTTCAAAATTACGCCGTTAAGATAGTGCACGTTAAAATGCAGTGTTGTTTCGGATAACGTAGAGCAGTTTTAGATGTATTTTGCAGCCCTTTTCCTCCCTTTTTTCCTTACCATTGCTCTCTGTGATTTGTCGACGTTCAACGAACGATACCTACCAGGTCACGTATTGGTAACAATATTCTATAAGGATTGGTTGGGATGCCTTCAAGCTTGCAACAATGAGCCAAGATGTATCTCGTACAACTACTTCAAAGAAAACAAGACTTGTGAGATAAACTCTAATGGGATAAAAGATCAATGTGCGAGCAAGTGGACGGTTTACTCAAGAGGATGGATATTTCACCAGATAAGGGTTAGTGTTATAAAACAGTTCTCAGTGGAAATAGTTTTTACATAGTTCATGTAACGTAATGGAAGCCAAGTTATAATCTTCACCTTAGACTAACTACAACCGACCCTAACAGAAACAAATAATTCCCAGCAGGTTCTAACACAGAGAATAAAAAACAAACAAGTTCTTATAAATGCAATGTTAGTGCCTTCGTCTGAATTGTAACGAAATACAGGATGCAGCTGCATTGAATCTCACAGTCATCAATAACCAATAGTAAGATCGCGCGTGTATTACTTAGGTTAATCGAGCCTATACATTCCTCTTCTGACAAAATAATTGAAATGGTTAATAACTTCACTCAGCTTCATTTGACAAAAAAAGTCAAATTTTGCATTGGATGTTACTACGATCTGCTTCAAGCAAAAAAACCTTCAACGTTGTTTTTCCAAAAATGTCCAGTAATAACCAGTTGTGATTCTACTGACATATTGTTATAACCTCAAAATAATTCTGTTGTATAAATCCGAATGAATGTCTCAATTATATGTTTATATTTTTGGCTTTTAACTATTAAGACATGAAATATGCAATAAACGTAATTTTCACACCATGAATGTAAGCTGCGCCAAAAGAAATGAAACGAGACTAGAACAGCAAATTCTTACACCCAATAAGTTCGGCCGTTTAAAAGCTACCGGCAGCAACTACAATTCGCCAAATAATGCTTATTTTATGAATGCGAAAAAAGTCATGTCGCATTATATCATAGTTTTATAACACACAAAAAAACTGGCTCATACGACTTATAAATGCGGATAAGAGAATGTCAAGTCGATTTCGTAAAATCCGTTTTGAATTTGCGGAATATTTCCAGAATTTAGCAATTGTTACGAGTGGCCAATCTGGCTAGGTTAGCAGTACCTGTGACTAACAAAACCCAGAGTAAATATTTACTTTTAAAAGGAAATTTTATGAAGGTTTGAAAAATGTTTATTCAGCAGCGATATTAAAAACAATTTTGTTGGTTTCCTTGGAAACCCGCGTACGAAAAACGAAGAATAACAAGAATCGTTCATGCTGAAAAGAAGAAGAATTTTTTTTATCGATTTTGTTGTCATCGAAATCTGGTACAATCTCTTTTGTCGTCTCTTACATTTAGTAACAAGCCTTTAATACAAAATGGTCTGTTGTTAAATTGATAAAACTAAAGAATATTACAGGAAGTAAGAAATTATAGAGATGATTTTCGCATTGTCAAGATTAAAGAGATAATTACTTTCTCATTTTCCCCTTTCAGCCTACACCAGGGCCGAAACCAGGTAAATATGATTGTCAAATATCACCTTGACTATTACATAAGTTCGACGGATAATTAGTTCCCTCCTGCTGAATACTGAGCATTAGAACAAGGGGATATTGCTGTAAAAGAACCAAAAGATCCTCGAAACAATTTGATTTCTAACTTTTGATCATTAAGTGACTCCTGTTTTTGGCCTCAGTTCAATCTTGGACATCCTGTCAGCAGAACGCTTCTTTCGCTTGCTCGATTTTTTGTGTACTCAAGATCGAGTAACGTCTTTATTGAGCATGCGCTGCATATATAGTTTCGAACCCAGTTAACGAACCCAGTAACGAACCCAGGTTTGAAAGCCGTTCGCTTGGTACAGTGGGCTCGGCTATGACCGTCGGTTTATTAATTCACAAATGCTTGCACTCGAATAATCCTGTTTGACGAGAGAAAACAAGATTGACTAGTCCAGACAATTGGGCTGCGGCCACTCGATTCAAGTAGAGCTTCCTTTCTCCTCCTCACTCAAAAAAGACAAATGGAGGCCGTGATCGCTGCAGGATGAAGCTTGGACAGAATAAAATAGGAAAACAAACGAAATCAAGCTAAAGGCTCACGAAGAAGGCCAAAACAAGCCGTTTTCCCATTCATGATTTGGAGGTCTCCATAGTTGCAGCTTCTAAAACGTTGGCAATTATTATACTTCTCCAGTCTGCGCCATTTGAAGGCTTTTGAGGAGGGGGCTTAATGTCATACTAGTGGACTTACGATATTCTGCTCAATATATAGAAGTGCCTGGAGGGAGCAAATACAGAACATTTCTTCGTCTTCTTCAATTAACATCAGAATTGGTAGTCAAGGCCAATTCCTTAGACTCTCGATGTGCGTACTCGGTAGAAACTAACTCCTAAAATTGTATTCCGTCATATTATCAATATAGGCGTTGCGTCTGACATCATGCCCTCACTTAACACCAAAAAAGTTTGCAAAATCAAAACGTGATAAGGTTTTTGGGAACTAGATCTAAGCTACTGGAAAGCATGGCACACACATAAATTTCATATAGTATGTTATTAATGTCGAGAGGATCATTATTTTCTCTTCTTTTGAAGAGTTAGGAGATGATGCAAGCAATCCTGCGGGATCCTGTGAAGAAATATTTTCTACAAGAAGGTAATGACGAATCGATGATGGAAGCCATAGCTCTAGATGAAAAGACGATCTTCATCAACAACTGATGTTGATTGCCTCGTATGCAGTCACTCGGCACCTAATAAAAAGCGGTTGTTTATGTACTAAA